TTCTTTTGCTGAAAACTGGAAGTAATTGCCACTTTTTGGCAAAACTGTTGTAAAACCAACCAGCTATAAATATGGGCTGCTTGCTGAGCACCTGACATGCTGTTATGTGATCTCAGGGGGGGGAGGGGGCAGTCGTCAGAACTTTGCAACTGAATTGTAAATACCAACACAGAGGTCGGTTGTAATGAGGAGTTGCTAAGCAACCAGCCTTAAGTCAAGGACTACCTGTAGTTAAGAGATATAATGAAAAATTCAAAGCCAATGTATTTTCAAGTTCAAAGCCAAGTTCTTGTTATGTATCACTTGATGCATTGTTTGGGAAAAAACATCAGATGCTCACAACAAACAGCATGATAAACCTGCTTTCACTCAGATTCCAATATCTGATATGTGTATTCAAAAAGAAGAAAGGATTGTAATTCTAAACAGAATCTTGAAAGCAGAGAAAAACTTTTATTTTTGACAACTTTAAGTAAATTATGGCAAACCTTAAGAGGTCAATAGCATTACACTCTATCTCTGATCCTGGTTATCCTGTTGAACAAAAACTGGCCAAGCCAGAGGAGGAGTCAAATAGGGAAATAATCTGGAATCCATATATGGGCACAAAAGTGAGAAGTCCAACCATGTCCCCTTTCTAGTCTTATCTTGGTGCAAACCATCAATCTGAGAAGATTCCTATGTGTAGGCTTGTGCAATAAACAACTAACTGAACTCTTCATATATGGATCTGGTTGATCACACCTGACACATTCAAAAACAGCTGTTTTGCTGTTCAGTTCCCTTTTCCTGTTCCTTGTTTTAGTATTTGTAAACCACTTGGAAGGAAGGAATAAACATTTCCCTCTGTTTATTTGGAGAAGAAAGTGGGGAAGAACTACAGCTCTAAAATCTCACTTCTTGTGGCTGTGCTTTTCAATTTTGACTTTTATAAAAGTCTCAATTTACTTCTTCATCTAATGGCTTTGTTCCTCAATTGTTGCAAGGGTTGATTGAAAACTGATGCTTCCAACATTATAAGCCACCAACAGTGGGTGGGATGTTCTTGTAAGAAAAAGCTGTGCTGCTATTATAATGAATTAGCAACTGGCAGTACGCCCTTTAAGCAATATACTATGACTGACTGAATAAGTACCTACAATTGAAACTCATTGGTAAATGCAGCTTGCTTATAGGGATGATATGTTGACCTATGTATTGTGTGTTGCTGGGCTAAAAAATGTGAAGATATTAAATTGGGAGGAGCTGACTTAAATGATTAAAAGCCAAATAGATGATCTTTGATAGCAATCAATGAGTTTTATATGAGAAATATTGATTAAGGACAATGAGTACATTGCTCAGAGAAATTGTTGTCAAGCTTGGCAGTTCACTGAAATGTGTGGGTCACATTATTGATGGTCTCAATATCAGAAACTTTGTGCAAGATGGGTTCTTTGTATGTTGACAGTAGAAATAAAATCTTCAAAAGCTGATAATTTGCCAGCAATTGTTGTGATGCTACAAGAATGAAGATGGTAAATTGTGACAGTAGGGGAAACTTCAGTTCATCACTGTGAACCAGAAAGAAAATGTTAGTTTATAGAATATAAGACCATCCAAGAGGCAATTACAAAGTTGGATCTTACCCCATTGCTATAGAGTTTGGATTTGGCACCATGCAATTTCCACTTTTTCCCCAAACTGAAGAAACATCTTTATGGAGCATCTATTTCACTTGAATGAAGTGGCAAAAAGTATTGTCAAGACTGGGTTAAAGAGACAAACTGTGGGGCTTTTTGTTTTAAGAAATTCATCATCATCAAAAGTATGGAGAATTGTGATTAGGTGGAGAAATAAATACAAGTATCAGAAAAATTCATTCCACGGATTATTATTATTCCTGTTAAAATCTCTCTCTCTCTCTCTCTCTCTCTCTCTCACACACACACACACACACAGCGCAATTCTGTTGGTCACTTCTTTCCATGCTATAGAAATTCATGGAAAAGCACAGGAGGAAAGAGAGCACAGGGGGACATGGTTGCAAGCATCAGGAAATTCAGCTGCTATCAGCATTAATAAAAGTCAGAGCGAGACCAGAGAAATCAATATTGCAAAACCAGACTTGCTCTTATCTGGGAAAAGAGAAAATGTGCTCTGTTGAAAAGTAATTGCCCCTTCTTCTCCTAATAAAAAAAACCAGACCTTCCTGCAAAAGGACCCAAACAAAAAGTGCAACTGTCAGCCAACACTCCTTAATACATGATGAATATCGTGGGGCAGACGATGGGATGGAAAATTAAAATTTATATAGTATATTAGGTATAAAGTCAAGCTCCAGGCTTCACTGCAAAAGCATTGTAGCTCCCACAATAAAGACTAACACTGCAATTAACAGCTGAGAGGTAGCCATGTTATCTGTAGGAATGTTAAGAGTGAAGTATGTATTCCTTTATCTTGGAATACTTTTGCTTAATTATATAAAACCAAGCAAGCAAGGAAGAGTTGATAGGCATAATCTAAAACCTATTTATCTGTGAGTGATATTGCCTCTTTTCTTTCAGATAAAACTCTTTCCCAAGACTCACACTCTCAGCATGAAGCTGTTGAATTGGACAATGCCCTCTTGCAAAAGATATTAAAACTGCCAACTTAATTAAAATGGTGGAACACTTCTGACCATAAAGTTAATTCTCATCATACCTCTTAAGTTCAGGGCATCTTTCCAAAAATATAATAGCTTCATATTTCCAGGGCATATGACATGTTCTTCTAATATAGAAGATAATATAGTCTGATGTACACAGACACTTATGTTTTATAGAGAAACTGGAAAATTCCATCCTAATTTATTTCATTATGCAAATGATATCATTTTATCTTTTTTGGGAAATGGTAGTTAATCAGAATTAATGTCAATAGTCTCAATAATAATCTGAAATATTTAGAGGTTTTAGACTGAATTTTATTCCTTTATCTTAGCATAAAAGTTCCTAGGAAATGTTCTCTACTAAGAAAAAATGAACCTAATCCCATTTGGTACCAATTAAACACAACCTAGATTTCCATTCAGTAATTAATATGAGATGAGATGAGATGAGATTCACTACAATTCACTGTATTTTAAGTCTTTTTTTATTCCTTCATATTACAAATATAGTTTCTATCACATAACTTTATTTGGCAGAAGCAGCCTTTGATATTTCACTGTGTAAAATAAAACTGCCTATTGGAAAAGGCAGACTTTATTTTTCATATGTTCGGCCTATTTATTTACACACACACATACACACACACACACACACACACAAAATTTGGAGCTACAGAATTATTTTTCTTTCTGCTGAACCATCTGATGCAGCCATACTGAACATTCCAAAATGACTTGAGATTTCTAGAAACTGCATATACCCTATACCAGGGGATGGCTGGCTCAGGAATTCTGGTAGTTGAAGTCCACGAGTCATAAAAGAGCCAAGGTTGCCTACCCCTGCCCTATACTTTGACCTTTATTGCAGTCACATGACATTGATAGTTTTTCTATTAGGTTTAAGAGCTGCATTTTTTGTTATGAATTCTGATTTTGCTATTAATTTCCTAGCTAAGAACCATTTTTTAAACATGTACTGCATTAAATTTACATCTTTTCTACCTATCAATGCATTACTGTTCTATGTACCAAATTATATATTATTCAGAAATATTTCATGAGAAATTGAATGAGTCTTCAAATGCCTATGGAACCACAAAAGAAATTTGCAATGAAGAGATCACAATGCACCTGGAACTTGTTATAAAAAGGGAATCCTCTAACAATAGAAGAATAGATTAAAAATCTTGCTCAAATTCAAATTTACCTTAGTCCTAAATATTCAATAAGTTGATACAAACTAGGCAATTCATGCTGATTTGTCTCAGCCAGTTAAAATGGGTAACATACTCTAATATGTTGGAGCAATTTTAATTTTCTAATTGTGCTTCTTTGCATCTTATATTTCTGATTCCAATTTCATTTTAGACTGTATTTTATCCCAATTTAATTTAATTCCAATTTTATTCTATATTGTATTCTTATTCCATTTTAAATTGCTTTTATCAAATTTTAGTAATAACTTGTTTCTGAAACTTTGCACTTTGATATGGCCCAACGGTTAATCAATCAATAAAATTCAAATCTTATATTTCTGAACACCTTCCTTCCTATACAAGACTGCATGTTTTATTTGCTCCTCTCCCATATTACTATAAGCTTTTGTGTTTTTTTTTATTCTTTCAAGAGGTAGAAATGGAATTGTCCCCATCCTAATAATGCTTTAGAATTGGAGAGTAGGAAAATGGCCTATATTTTCTTTTATTCCATGAGTTAAATAGAATAAATAATAAACTGTCTATACCTTTTAAAACCGCTATTAAAAGCTCTGAAAATAAAGCTCAAATAGACTTGCAGTATTTTTTATTTTTTGCGACTTGGAAACAGTCCATGAAACATTGGCTAGATTCCCACATTACTCTAAGCCACAAAGTCCAGAAATGCTGGATTTGCACAACATTGGGTGCCAAAACCATACAAATTATACTATGGCTTAACACAAGACATGAAGAACTACTGACTCCCGGCTCTTAAGAACTAAAATTCATAGCTGAGAATGTCTTGCAATACAGTTCTGACATCTTAAGAAAGTATTGCACTTTGGATGTTAGTGTCTGCCAGAGTTGCCTGCTTTTGCCCAGGAGAATCACCGATGGAATCTTTTTTTGAAACATCAGATATTCATACTGGTAATCTGCATACAACAGATTCAAACTGCAATTCAGACATTTTACAATGTTCCAGTGTAAAGCTAGGACTTGTTTCAGCTTCAGCCAACTGAATGTAATAGTTCAAACATAGCTTCAGAGAAATTCAAATATTGAAGAGAGACTGGGAACATTAATTGTCTTTCAGAATAAATTGATATACTTTCTTCTCAAATAGAAATAATACTACTTGTAGTGTTAAACAGCATGTGACAAGAAAATGCAGTTACTATTTACAGTTTTATTATCAGTCTGACAATAAAAAAATGAAACGAAATCCAAATTAGTGCCATTACTAATATGGATTTTTTATCCATATGTGCAATTAAATGCATTAATACAAAGTTTAGGAAAGCATTATTTTAAATCACAAAGCCCTATTTATCACTACAAAGATGATATTAATCCAGCAATCTTAAGTGTATTCCCTAACACGTAAGATCTTTTCACAAGTATTATCAGCTGTGGAGTCATGAAATTTTGAAAATATACATACATAATCCAATTTTATGAAGTAAAATTAACGTAAGTCACTATTTAAAAAGTGACATTACTAACTAATGGGATACATGTTTCATGTAGGTGAATGATACTTTATAAACTCTATCAAAATATTTGAATGCAGTTAGTTCTTGGTTTTAACAAAATTCTGTGCTTCTTTGAGAAGCATGTCCGTATCTTCACCGTCATTGTCTTGACAATCTGGTTCCCAGTCAGAATCTTCATCAGTAGGATCATACTCTTCCTCCTCTTCATCATCTATAAAACTGTCATTCAAGTCGTATTCATTTGGTTCACCATCATCATCACTCTCATCCGCAAGAACGCTTGTTACTATATAATTTTCAACAATAAAAAATTAAAACCTTGGGTTTTAATGTCCAATGCAAAATGAGAGTAATATACCCTCTCTTATGAACTAAATTTTATAATTTCATACTTGATTTTCAAATAAATTTGTTTTTTCTACAAATATAGAAACAAAATTTGAACAGGTGAGACAAAATATTAATTATTTATTAGAAACTGCATGAAAATACTGTATGTACATTAAGCTGATGGAGCTTTGCCTCTTCAATCTAATTAGTGAAATGAGAACAAGTCCACTGGTATTTGATAAGGAGGTCACTCCAGCTTTAATGCTCTTCCATGCAAATCACTCAAATTCTGATTTGGAAAGTTTATTTGATCTTATCCCAATTTCTAAATAAATTTGAAAATCCATTTTTATGTTAAAAAAAAAAAACTGAATTGTCACTATTCCAGATTGATGGCCACCAAATTCCTCTCTGATTTCTTGTGGCCTAGTGTTATGAAAGGCAATAAATAAATGTTTAATTAATATCATTACATCAATTAAAACCTGTTTGAACTTTTTTTTTTCTGAATCAAATATTCACACAATCTTACCAGCCAGTATTTCTTGCTAGCATTCCCAATAGGATACAGACAAATTTTACTCTTCTGGAGAAGTAGTAATCTGCTAGTAGTGAGGACTTTTAGTGCTATTTTAGAGACTTAGCTTGCAATGATAATAATTACTGCTGGAAAATCTGGAGATTAATATTTTTAGAAATTATTGGCCTAAATAAATATTTTAATCTCAATGTCTTTGGTTTCAAGCTCCATTTTACAAATCAGAAATTTGCAAACTATGGAAACAAAATAACGTAGCACAGTACTGTTGATATTGAGACCTTACACATTCAATGTAATAGATGGGAGATTATCATCATTTTTAGAAAACTCTCATTTGGATGAGAGATCTCAAGATATGTATATATTATACTATTCTGGGTTAGTCAAAGTTGTTTTTAATTTTTTTTTGTCAGTTTAATTTTCTTTCCTAAAGCTCCCCTGAAAAAACAGAAATATTATACAGGTAGCCCTCAACTTACAACAGTTCTTTAGTGACTGATCAAAGTTACAACAGCTCTGAAAAAAAGTGACTTATGACAGTTTTTCACACAACCATTGCAACATCCCCTTGGGTCATGTGATCAAAATTCGATCCTTGGCAACTAGTTTATATTTATGACGGATGCAGTGTCCCAGGGTCATATGATCAGCTTTTGCAATCTTCTGACAAGAAAAGTCAACGGGGAAGCCAAATTCACTTAACAACCGTGTTGCTTAACTGAACAACAACAATAATGCACTTAACAATTGTAGAAGGAAAGGTCATAAAATGGGGCAAAATTCACTTGACAAATGTCTCACTTAGCAATATAAATTTTGGGCTCAATTGTAGTTGTAAATCAAGGACTACCTGTAGACAAAAATGATTCCATTTCCCAAGTGTGTCAATATGAATTTGGGTTTTTTTCTAAAGATGCATTCAAGTCAGATATCCTGGAATGAAAACTCTCTTTGCAGCATTCCCAATTTCCTATATCACAATATATAATGCAAAATTCCTGAGGCAGGACTGCAGAGAGACTTTAGCCAGGTCACATAGTTCTTCCAAGAATATTTGAAAATGACTATGTGAAATGCAAAACATCAGTTCTAGCTTTTGATAAGCTTTAACCTTCAGAAGAAATACTAAGAAACAACAGACAAGTGAGTGAGTTGATCACAATTTTGCTCCAGTAATCCCATTTTATTTTTCATTCATCATTTTGCCTGAAACGATATAGTTGGCAAGAACAGGCAAGCGGGAACAGAATGTGATTACATCTTCTACTATCTTAGAAAAGAGAACATCCTGTATGCTGGATGATGAAACTCCAAGCCCTCTTTGTTGCATTCTAATGTAATCAACAGCTCTTTCACTCCCGTTATGTCTTCCGCCCTCTCTATCCTTTCATAAGTCTGGTTGCCTCTCTCACCACTGGATCATGGCTTCCTCTACAGTATCAGTACTAAACTGAATATAAAGATAATCTCCTTTACTTTTCTTGCCTGCTTTTCAATTTCAAGAGCAACTGTCCCTTTCCTTCCCTCTGCAAAGTGAAACATATAACCTCATGCAGTCAGTTTTGCCTTTTTCCTTCTTATCTAGCTGTATTTGACTGTAATGTCTTTGAAGCACCTTCAACAGTTAAGTATTGAATTGGTAACATACTGTACTTTTTAAAAATAAAATAATAAAACTCAATTTGCGTAAATCTTTTGATTTCATCTCTGTTGCAGACCAAACATCTTATATGAACACTCCTTCTTTGAGCAAAATGATCCAAAGTTACTTGCTTTTGGTTCTTTTTCTACAGGGAACATGTTACTTGTGATGTCAACTGTGTAGCCTGGCATAATCTGAATTAAAGTTGCAGAATTCAAGTTGCTATGGCTAATTATTTCTCTAGCACAGCAGTAGTTTTCTTTCTAGAAATCATACCACTAAAAGTAAATTATGTGATTATGTCATGGGTGCAGGTTTATAAAATTAGCAGCAGCAAAAGCAGCATTTATCTGATTGTGTCACCACAACCACTTTTTCAGCTGTCAGAGTATGCAAATTTCAAAAAGTTTGTCCCACTTCTAGAAAACATTTGTTCATCATTACCCTAGAACTTTTAATTAATTCTTATCCTTCTCAGCCTCAGTCAAATAAATAAATTTTATAAATTAATATTGTGTGTGCTATCAATGCTAAAGATGTTGGGGGAAAAGACAAATTCTCATTTCTTCCTTTCCCAATAAATTTATGCAATAAAAATGCTACTGATAATTTGGCTTCCAAATATTTGAATGCATTATGAGGCCATTTCTATAGCTGTTAAGATGTTCCACAGTTTAGTCTACAAATCCACAAGAAACATATTTAAAAAGGTCACTATTTCATATTATTATTGTTGTTCAAACTGCTTGCAAAATAAGCCAAATGTCAAATCCAAACATTACATTAAAATAAATCAATCCCTTTTTACCTTGGAGAGCTGCTATACTTACAGAAATGTTGATCTCCATGAACAGATTAAAATATGTCATTATTCCCATAAGGGGAACAGATACATTTATGAAGGAATTTCTTTAAGTGTAAACAGGTTGGTCCCCAACGTATGACCACAATCAGGCTCAAAATTTCCATTGCTAAGTGAGGCAGTTATTAAGTGAGTTTTGCCATATTTTACAGTCTTTTTTGCCACAGTTAAGTGGATCACTACAGTTGTTAAGTGAATCATGTGGCTGTTAAGTGACTCCCCTATTGACTTTGCTTTTCAGAAGCCAGCTGGGAAGGTTACAAATGGTAATTACATGTAAGTGTCATAAATACAGCCAGTTGCCAAGTGCCTGAAATCATGCAACAATTTTATGTGTGAAAAACGGTAAGTCACTTTTTTCAGTGCCGTTGTAATTTCAGTCACTAAACAAATAATTGTAAATTGAGGACTACCTGTACAAAGCAGATGTACATAGCACATCCATATAAAGTTAGGATATTAAGAAAAATGAACTTACTTTCTAATTTTATAGGGCCTCTAAACAGTGTCATCTACATAAACAAAGTAGGACTTCCCCTAGAAGCCATTTTTGTTTTTGTTTTACAATGATGGATTTAGTAATTTTTATACTAATTTAACGGGGTAGGATGGCGAGCAAAGCTAATTATTGAATCTGCCAGTGCTATTTGAAAATGTACAGAATCTCACCTTTTCTTGTAACTTTTGATCTCGTCTGCCTTCTTTCAGATTCTAGAGAAAGAAATGGCTACCAATAAAACAACCAAAACCACTATGAATTTTATTAAAACTGAAAACTGCAAGGGAACACTTGTTCAAATTCTCCTACTTATCTGCATCTCTTTGGAGGAATTCTAACCATTCTCATATCACCATCAAATACCAGGAAGAGGCACTGTAACTTCTTTATGTATTTATTTTGGTTCACTGAACAGCCAAATATGTTCTGTATCAGGGCTCTTCCAGTTTTACTTCTTTTACCCAATAAACCAATCGCCTTATGCTTCCATAGTGGTATTTAACCTTTATGAAAGATGCATCAGTAATTCTTGAAAATTTTATTCCTGACTCATACCATAGCCACCAGTCTGACATTCATTTTAAAAGCAATTAACTGTAAAGGAAAACACCTGTTTATGACAGGTCCAAGTATGCACTCTAAACACTTTACAAAGAAACAAACCTGGTGAAGGGCAAATTTCATTTATGCAATATATGGAATACATGGGACTATAAAGTAAGAAGTTAGAATTGGGATGTAAAGATTGCTTCGTAATTGGCATACTGAAAGCTAGCATTCAAACCATGGGGGGTGATGACAGCTCTTGGCCTGGATGAATTTTTGATTGTTTATACTTGAAAAGAAATATGTAAATACTTAAGTACTTAAAATTGATACTAACACCAGCGATTTTTACAGGAAACAGCAGGTGATAGGACTTTGGGAGAAAACAATTGTTTTGTTTTTATCACAGCTGACAACCAGTTGTTCCTCTGTACTTTAGAGCAGAAGTCCCCAACCTTTTGGGCACCAGGGACCAGTTGCAGGCATGCCGTGACCCGGTACCAGTCCAGAGACCGGGGGTTGGGGACCCCTGCTTTAGAAGGTAAGAGCTTGAAGACTGTGTCTCATGCTAACTGAGGTTGTAAAGGAGATTGAAGTATTTTTAGAATGAAACAATCAAAACAGATCTTTTTGCCCCTTAAAACTAGGGGACTGAATTACTCAAATTTTGTCAATATTTGTGGCAAAAAGGAAAGGGGCCCAGTTTCATAGTTTCATATTGTTTTTAATTGGGATGAAAGGTGTGAAATTCTCTACTGTGCCATGACAAATTTATACTTGATTACTTGCAAGCTATTTCTATGGACGTCTATGGAGATTCTCAGTCGTCCAGGTATGGTTGTCCCAAAGGTGCTTTTTTCAGGAGGCAACTGGACTTTCTTGTGTTTCTTCTGAATACATTTCACTTCTCATTTCTATGGACATGACTGGAATATAGCTTGCTAGAGACACCCACACAAGTGAGGATAATAAAAAAAGCAATGAAAACTATGTAATCAAAGCCCCCCCGTGCCCACTTTTTCATGTATCTCATCCCATATTAAAAAAATGGCAGTCATGCCCACCATCCTGATTTTTTATAACCTTCCTCCACCTGCCAAAGTTGCCCCTATATCTTGCCCCTATATACAGCAAGCTCCTTTTTAATATATTGATAATGCAATAGTTTTACTCCAGTCAGAAGTAGAATATAATCTGTATGTGTAATTATATTTAATATATCAGTGATATTTTATATGGTGCAAATATATTACCATCATAATTCAATTATATTAAAGCTGTCCAATGTATTTTTTTCAATCCCTGCTGTAAATTCCCTGATGAGTATCTAATTCTACATTAAGATTAGAATCTGGTCTAATTTCTGTAGAGTTTCACATACAACTTCGCTGCTTGAAATTTTGGCTCATATTAGTTTTCATTCACAGTTGCCTGGGTTCTTTAACCTTGTGAATTTATTATTATGGAAGACAGTTACTAATCTATAGCAGTTTTAAAATCTTACAGCTTAACAGCTACCTCATTTGGTTCTAAGAAATTTTAGTTAAACCTGAAGCAATAAGTCCTGGACAACAGTATTCAATATATTTGTAATATAATTCTCCACTTTTTATCATAACTAGCCAGCTTATCCTTCTCCCTTGCCAATTACTTGGTTAATATCTTCTGCCAACTTACGGACAAATCCTTATATCTGCTTAATTTAATATTCTGCTGGATGGAAGAATTAACAATATTGCCATGAATTCTTTTTATCTGGTTTAACCTTGGATTTAAAAGTGCTTCTAGTAATTCAGATGTATGGTAGCTCAGAAGAGAACTCTTTTCTTAGCTGGTAGGTAATCTGAGATTTCCAGAATGCTCACCAAACTTGGTTCAAATGGCATTTCTGTTCAATCTTTAATATCTGTTAATTTTACTAAGATATATTTTAATGTATTATGCTAGTGTACAGTCTTTAATAAGCAACATTGCTTTTATTGTTTAATTAATTTATAGTCAAAAACCAAATCAAACTACCTGAACTATAATAAAAAAACCTTCAAAAATCACATCAATTCCCATTATAGCACCATACTACATAAGCAACAACACTTCCACAATACTACCTGGGCACAGTCTTTGGTATTTTACCTCTGTATTAGTTACATTAAGAAAGATCTGTCCTTCATACACATTAGAATAAAAACCCTTTACCTGGAGGAGCTGTGTGTTTATATTCCAACTTGTGCTGTGGATTTTTTCTGCAAAGAGAAAGAATTAGAAAAGATGAACCTGAGTTTTCCATCTAATCATCTGAAATTTCGAATGAAAAGAAAAACAAAAGACAAAGCAAATGATTCTTTATCTTTGTTTTAAGGGAAGCAAATAAATTATAATCATACTGGAAATACGATTTACTCATTTTGAAAAAAATAACTTTTGATCTATTCATTTGTTAGGGGAGTGGCAGCTTTATCCAGTTCCATCTTTACTGGTAAAGGCTGCAAATATTTCTCCATCTATCATAGATGCCTATGCTTAAGATTCCTCCCTGAAGAGTAATTTTTTTTGGAGGGGGGGGGAATTGCAATATGTTAGTCTTCTTAGGGGTCTGCAACCAAACTAGTATGCCCAGAATGCAAGGGAAGTTACTGCTCTGCTTTGGTTTTTGGCATAATTGGAGGCTCCACAAATAAAGCAATGGAGAATTTTTCTTTGCTGGCAAAAGAAAAATAGGACTGCAAGGGGTGGGAGGGAAAGGTATGTGAATTTGACTTGCTGTTCTGCAGCTTTGAAGGGAGAACAATAGGTTTGCCCAGTGTGGATGGTTGAATGCCATCTACTGAGGCTTGAACCATTAAACCCAACTCTGCTGAGGGTCATGAAAGAAGGTCAGTTATATGGCTTTTGTACTGAAATTACCATTTTGTGGAACCCAAAGCTGTTGAAGTCATGGTAAGACTTATTTTCTAAGTTGGGAATTAGGAGGAACAATCCATTATGACCTTTTTAGTGAGCTACTGATAATGAGCAAAAGCCTGGGCTGTGTCTTTCTGCTAAATCAATGAAGCAAAATGAATGTTCATTAGTGGTGGAAAATTTTCAGACCCTCTTTCTGAAAGGCATTCTTGTTGCTATAGGCACCTCAGTGTAACAAAATTTCCTCTGCAGGAAAGTCAATAAAAAGTTAATCTTCTAGAGATAAAAAGAATCAACACATTCTGCATAATACCAAAGACAAAAATGGCAAGCAAGAAGAAGAACCCAGATAGTATAGTTGATATTGAAATCAAAAGAAAACTGAGGGGGTAGACAAGAACTCTATCCAGTAACACATGCTCTAAAGAGTGGACTTTCAGCTAAAATATTCCAAAGCTTTAGAAATTTCCATCATTGTCTTGTAAAAGAGCATCATCCGAGATATGTCATATAGAAAAACCACAATGTAAAATCAAGTTTTAAAAGGCTTTGAATGGGAGCTAATCAGCTGTTTATTTAAAAAAAAACCAAAATAATGGAAAATTGTCATTTGTAATACAAGTTGCTAAAAATGTACCCTATGGAACTTATGCTTAAAATATGGCCCGCCAAGACCCTTTGTAAAAGATAATTTCTCCCTGAAAAATGTAATTAAAAGTAGGACTTAGAACCTTGAAGTATATAGCAAAACTCTTCTTTGACAAGTCACTAAAATTATTTTATCCAACAGGTGGGAAGAACAGTCCCCACAGGGACCTTGCAGATACTCCACCAATCCATCCTAACCCAGAAGGGACTGGGTTGCTGTGAACAGGGCCATTGGCCAGCACTTGGAAAATGCAATAAGGATGGAGAAATAAGCCTTTTTCGTCACCCCAATTGCCACAAACTTAGGCTCCAACAAAGGCTCTCACTTGTGTCTAGTTGGATTCACTCATGTAGTATTTGATTGCAATTGTTATAATCTCTTCCAGGAACAGGTTGGGTCAATGGTCTTAACTGCTTTTTGCTTTGGTATGTAGTTTTGTGTGACTTAAAATCTTGTATTTTGGATTTTATTTTTGGGGTTGGAGTAAACCTTTAATAACAGATGTGTAATGTTTATCCAGGTAAAAAGTTGGGTCTACACAATTTCCATAAACACAAGTAGTTGTCATGACTACAAATTTTTGTTGTTAAGTGAGACATTTATTAAATGAATTTTGCTCCATTTTACAACCTTTCTTGCCACAGCTGTTACGTAAATCACTGCAGTTGATAAGTTAGTAACCCGGTTTTTATGTGAATCTGGCTTCCCCACTGACTTTGCTTGTGAGAAGATCACAAAAGGTGATCACATGACCTTGGGACACAGCAATGGTCATAAATATGAACCAGTTGCCAAGCAGATGAATTTTGATCACATGGCCATGGGGATGCTGCAAAGGTGTTAACTGTGAAAAGCAGTCATAAGTCACATTTTTCAGTGTTGCTGTAACTTTGAATGGTCTAAACCAACTGTTGTTATTCAAGGACTACCTGTATATGTGCTACGTTTGAGTCAATCAGTAGAAAGAACATTTGGTAACTCCCAATGACATACCATGCAAGTGAAATATTTATCATCCAAACTTCAAAATTATTCTAAATGATCATTCTTACCTGTAACAATCTGTTCCATAAGGACATTCAGGCCTATCATCATCAACGTGAGTTACAGCTTCTGAGTCATGATAATCACTGTCACCAGGGTGACTAAACTGCTGGAAATGTATAGGATTCTTTCTGTGAAATTTAGAAATACTACATCAACTATCAAGACGTATTTCAAATGTATGCAGCTGGGAGAAATACAACACCATTAATTCAGTTGAACTAATGTGAATGAAATACAGTAATTAAAACAATTTAAAAAAAACAGAATCAGTTAATATTACAAAAATAATTCAACTAAAATTAAAGAAAGCAAGTAGTTCTTTCTGAAACCTACTCTAATTTGGTTGGCCAAATTCCAGTATGAGGGAATTTTATAGAACAAAGTTAACTACCTGGAGTTGCTCTATAAGTGAACTAGATAGTCTTATATTCGATATATAAATAAATAAAATAAATTAAGAACTCCTTGTTTTTTTCTGGAGGGGGAGAATCTACTGTCCCTCATAAAGCTTATGTTAGATAAGTATGAGACAGTGAAAACTGAAAAGGCAGAAAAATTTTACAGAGTTATAAAGCTCTATATTGTATTATCTATCTGTAGCACACATCTGGCAATGCTAATCCTCATGAATACATGAAGAATAGCAATATTGTGCATTTTAAAACTCAGACAAATGTCTTTCTCCTTCTAGCTCTCCAAGCTCTGAATGTACTTGATCACAGTGGATTTGCTATATTTACGTACTGCACTGGAGATCAAACTTGATCAAAACACAGACGCATCAGTCAAGACATATACCTTGACCACAAGATGTAGTATTGGCTACCATCTTGGCTGGCTTAAAAAAAAAAAGACTGAATTCAAGGAAGTCATGGGGATCCATGGCTATGGATTGATTGCAATGTGTCTGCCTCTGAGGGCCATCTGCTGGGAGACTAGTAGGCTTCCTTGGCAGTTGGCTGGCCACTAAGAGAACCAACTGCTGGACAAGATAGAACAGGTCTCTAATTTAACAGGATACTATTTATGTTTATCTATTCTTACATGGTATTAAAAGCATGCATATAGATACATATGGGAACAATCCCAAAGGTACTTTTTCAAGAGGCATCTGGACTTTGTTTTTCTTTGAAGATGTTTCACTTCTCATTCAATCAAAAAAAGAAAAAGTAAAAGCACTTTTGGGACAATCATGACCTGGATCACTGAGAATCTCCATAGACATTTAGATATGGGGACAATGTTCCTCCTATGTAATGGGAAAAACTTAAAAACAATGAAAACACAATCTGGTGTTATGAACCTCTCCTAGCACCTGATTTTGCTCAAGAGTAAACAGTTAATTGTCAAATGATTATGTTCTAATTGCTTCAGTCTACTTTTGGTGTGCAAAGTTATTCTCTTAAGAGGCATTCTGCCTTTTTCTTCCTCGCTATCGTTTATTCTAAAAGAATGAGAATCAACTTTGCCTTGAGAGAAATATTTTACAGAACTACAGCATACACAAAAAGAAGACTCTTAAGATGCAACCATGTATGAGTAAACACTCTTATTTTTAATTGTGTTATTGTTACAAAAAACCGTTTTGACAGAAAACTCAAAACAAACTTCTTATGCAACTAACTATAGTACCCATAAACAAATACATATTTACAGCCACACACATTTACCTGAAAGTTATTTAAGAGTTCAGAGACCTCTTTCTCAGCAATAGACTAATAGAAGATAGATCCAATACTGCAGTATAAAATATTTTGACAGGTGTATTAAATCAAATTAAATTGTTATAATACTAATTCGAGGCATTCCATTTCCCTTTTAATATAGTAGTTCTTGACTTAACACCATACTTGGGACTGGAGCTTTCATCGCTAATACAATTCCTGATGCAGCTGATTAAGTCAGTCATCCATCACATGATCTTGACCAACTTTACAATCTTTTTTGCCATTGTCATTAAGTGATTCCGGCTTCCCCCATTCACTTTGCTCGTTGAAAGCCAGCTGGGAAGGCTGCAAAGAGCAATCACATGATACCAGGATGCTATGATTGTCATAAATACATGCCAGTTCTCAAATTTCAATCAGATGATTGCAGGGACACTGCAATAGTCGTAAAAAAAAGGCCTGATCTTAAAATGATGAAAAACGTGACTTACGACTGCTAAATGAATGTTCTTAAATCGAGGATTACTTGTATAGATAGTTCTTTCCCATATGTTTCTTTATAAAGAAACTCAATCCATTCAGAAGAAAATAAATAGAGAACCATTATATTTAAATATTTTGTTTCATAATACCATTTCTTCCAGTCTAAACTTCTGTAGCAGAAGTAAGTTTAAACTCAGTGCATACTATATGAACAGATTGTATTTTCCTATCACTTATAGAATATACAGGTTCTTAAAAATTCCTGGATATTATTTTGTCTGAATACTGATGTTCTTTTCCAGTATTACTACTACAGTTTGGATAAATTATGACAGCTAAAAATCACCTAGCACATATCATGTAACTGCAATACTCAGAACACCGAAGAAACAGTGCGTCACAGTACTTCCAATTCTAGATACACAGTATTCTGAGGAAAAAATCTTGGAATTACATATTAAAAGAACTTAAATTTCTGTTTTAAAAAATGTGAGAAGATGAGCAGCATTGCTCAAAGGAAACAAATGGAAGTATGCCAAACAAACTCTCAAGCTGTATGATGATTAATGCCTTATAGAAGCCTTGGTGGTGCAGTAGCTAGAATGCAATATTGCAGGCTAACTCAGCCCACAGCCAGGAGTTCAACCCTCACCGGTTCAAGGTTGACTCAGCCTTCTATCCTTTCAAAGTTGGTAAAACGAGGAACCCAGATTGTTGAAGGCAATATGCTGAGATTTGTAAACCACTCAGAGAGTGCTGTAAAGCACTTTGGAGCAATATAGAAGTGCTATAAAATTATTTTTGTATTAACTTAGAAAAGTATTTAACATAAGCAAAATACAATGTGTCAACTGCTTAGTTTTAAATATAGATACAATAAAAAGAACTCCCCTGTCCACAGACTATATGGTTATGGACCAGTAAATTGCCATTTAGAACTTGTTTTTACCTGTAGCAGCTTCTCCCATACTGGCAAGTAATCCTCTGAGGTTTGTTTATGTGAGAACTCTGTTGCATCTCTTGACTTTCCGTTATATTTGAAGTATCTATTCCAATAGCCAGATTCAGAGTAGTCTCTTGAATATCACCCTGATTATAAACCTGCATGGTTTCAGAATTAATGCTCTCCAATTTGTTTTCTTTTGTATTTGTTGTATGCATTTGAGTAGGCTGAGATGCTTGTCCATCTGACTTGAGGGCCAGCTCTTCATTATCCAGCTGACTGTTAAATTGCTCAACTGAACTTTCAGCTTTCTGAGATATTCTTTTACTTTCAATCTTTGGCATTTTCTTTGCAACATCTTTAGTAAATACCTCCTATAACAAGTGAAAATTTGTATGAAAGTGTTCATGAAACAGATTTTAATTTACTATTATTTGTGTGAAAATAGATTTTACTTGAAATAGATTAATTAATCAGCATACATGACATAACACAATCAAAATTAGACAGGTCCCTAGATCATGGATCTTCTGTACACAAAGAAGAACAATTATGAGGACAATGAAGGCTAGAAAATAAAAGAGAACAATATTAAGGAAAAATGTGGGAATTAGAAGAAAGTTGAAAGTTAGCATTAACTTCAGAAGTGGGAGGAATAGAATACTAAAAGGAGGAGGAGCATGGAAATTAGCAGAGTCATATTAGAAAGCATAAACCTGAGCAAAATAAATAGAGTGAATTATGAGAAAGGAGATTTTGACAGTAGAATCTTGAAATTGAGGTAAAAAATGAATTTTGATAGAAGAAAATAGTCATAAACAGAATTTAGCTCAAGAAACAAACAGAAATGGGAAGTCAATAGAAAGTCTAATTAGCAAAATGCAAATAATTTCAAGAATAATTCCCACTAGCTAACGAAAGTGGGGATATTTAAAGTTCCAATATTGGTTATACATGACTCTAATATGTGCTGAAAAAACACACAACCCAAAGTGCTCCCTCATGACTATATAGTAGTAAAAATTGAAAATGTGGCAATCCTTAAGTAAGGACTCTCTTACCTACACTGTAGAACTATTAAAATTAATGTGGACTTGCCACTTCGAGGGAACTGTGTTTCCCAAATTCCCTTCTCAACTGAGATGCTTTTCTTGGGTCCAGTTACTAAAAAGATTTGGCAACATTTGGGTATAAATCTTATTAAGTATAGTATATTTTATAAAGGTAGATTCCTTGACATATTTTAACCTTAAGATACCAAAGCAACAATAACAAAAATTATCTAACCAGTCATATATATGTCTGCATCATAGAGTCATGTGAGCTATGACATTTGGACAGAATTAATAAGTAGACTTCCTGAAACCAAAAGCATTCTTGTAAGTCACAGCTTCAATAAGGATTAATATTTGTAAGAATATAATGGCCAGTTATATAAAATGAAATGGGGTGCTATTCTCAGTAATACTAGGGCAATGGTCCATCAGTCCTTTTCACCAGCCCTTTCCACTGAGGTCACTAGCATTAAAATAAAAAAGCAGATTCTGGCTGTATCTGAATGTATACCTCAATTCTGACTTTTCTAATAGCATGAAAAGCAATCAGTGTCCTTCATGAGAAATTTAAAAAGCCCTAGCACAAAACATCAGAAGGAAAAAAAATAGGACCATGTTTGAAATAAATGAATTGGATCTGTTTCAGAAGTAGAAAACAGGATGAACCATATGGACTGCATCAAATCACCCTCTTGGCCCTGTTATTTGATAGCTGCTTCTCTACTGATCAGGTTCTTCCTTATAAGTATTGTGCATTTCTATGAACAGAACAACAAAAGCCAGAAGAAGTATTAATTGAAAAAAAAAATAGAAAAGAATACCTCTTTTAGAAGGGTAGAATCTTCACTTTCAAGAATTTTCTGCTTTTTTCTTAGATCTGGCTTTATTTCTTCATTATTACCTATTTTGATTAAAAATAAACAATCCTACTGAATTGAACAATTTTGTCATCTAAGCCAGTGGTGGCGAACCTATGGCACGGGTGCCAGATGCGGCACTCAGAGCCCTCTCTGTAGGCACGAGCGCCGTCACCCCAGTCCTAGTCCTTCAGCTGGGTTTTATAAAACCTTTTCGCTTTAGGCCTCTGCCCCATGTGCAAAAAAAAAAAAAAAAAGGTTCAATCAGTCAATTTCAACTTCTCGCGGGAAAAGAAAAGATCTTGCAAAGTTGGAATTGATTGATTGAACTTTTTAGTTCCACCCAGTCTGCCATTACCACTGCAATCACTCCCACCCAATGAGCCACACCCAGCCAATGGGCCACACCCACCCGGTACTCGACGATGCATAAGTGGGTTTTGGGTTGCAGTTTGGTCTCGGTCTCTAAAAGGTTTGCCATCACTGATCTAAGCTATGAATAACTGCACATATTAGAAAGATTTTATACTGCCTTATTTTAAAAGGAGAAAATTACAATGTATTAACATTCTTCTTATTTAAGACATGATCCCCTCTGTCCAGGCACCCAGCCTGACCTGACCTAATTGTTGCCTGGCAGGCCAGCTGGCACAAATCCTGACCACTCCTTGTTATTCTCCCTACTCAAGCAGCAGCAGCAGCTTGAGTTTCTTGGCTCCGTCCGCATGGAGAAAACCAGAAGCACAGCAGCGGGATTGCTCTCAATAAGACCGGCGCAAGTGAGCGAGCAGCGCAGAGCAATCCTGCTGCTGAATCTCCTCTTTCTTCATTTTGGATGGAGCCAAGAAACTCAAGCCGCTGCCACCGCTTGAGTGAGGAAGACGACAAGGAGAAGAGTGGTCAGAATTTGTGCCAGCCAGCCGGTCAGGCAAGGAGTAGGTTGAGTAGAGTGGGTGGCTGATTGGGGCGGGGGAATCATGGCTGCTCAGGTGGCTACTGCCACTGGTGGTGGCGGTTTGGACGCAGGTACAAGGAGCCTGGCTCTGCAATGCCTCCTCGCTCAGTTGAAGGCTTTGTTTCTGCCCTAAAACGAAGGCCGGCACACGTGAGCGAGCAGCACACCCGGGAAATGGACGGCATTGGTTCCTGTGCCCAGCCAACTCCGATTCCACACTTTGCCCCATAGGCATGCAAATGAATCAAACAATCCCCCTGCCCCCCGAAAATGGAAGCTTCTGGGGACCATGATGTCTTTTGCAGAGAATTTGTGTTTGAATTTGCGTGATATTACAGCACCCAGGAGCTTCCATTTTCAGCGCAAAAAGCATTTCCAAGCTGACTCTCCTCTCCCTCAAAGGGAAAGAAACCGCAGCAGAAAGGAGACAGATTTTGCAAGGTGAATGTATCTGGTGCGGCTGGGAGGGGGAAGCAGTTGTGGGAAGTAGGGGGGGGGGGGAAATAGAGTGAATGTTGCAGAGCCTCTGCAGTCATTCGTAAGAGCGAATAACTGCCATGGTGCTGCAATATTTGTGATTTTGGGACTTGCTCGTAAACACTAGGGGGCGTTTGTCACGTAACTTCAAACGAGTGTTAAGTGAATGCTCGTAACTTGGGGATTACCTGTAATTATCCCTTTGTACAATCTAATAAATGTATGCATGTTTAAGGTCACACACTATATACAACTTCTGTTTACATAACTATTAGTATACGTTCTGATATTTTAAAATTCTTAAAAAGCATTTTACACTTAAGATAACTCTAAGAATACATTAGAATTCAGACATAATTTGATTTGTTCTTGCTATATAGTAAAAGCAAGCAGAATATATCACTGAAGTATTTTTGTTCATTATTCTTTCAAAACCTTTTTCAGATGAAAAAAAATCAACTAGTAATGGTGAGTTGTCTTTTAATGCAAGCCACCATCAATCTCATGCCTGATTACCATCTTATTATTTAATTAGAAATATGGCTGGTCCTGTATTAGTAAGCAACAACAAAATTTTACAATCAACATAATAGAAAATCCTGATTATGTTGAAGTTATCAGATCCCAGTGGAGTAACTTTATTATGTATCTCAATTTTGTTAATGACACAATGTGGAATCGCAAGCAAAAGTACAATTAATGAAATTCTATTATTACATACTCCAAAAGGAGAATTTAGGAAAGATAATTGCCACGACTTCCTTAGCAAATCTGTCTTCACACTTACCAGTTTTAGAGGTTGACTGAGTTGAAGCCATTAGATCTGTGGGCAGCATCCATTCTGGAAGCTGTCTTTTTCGCTGAGCAGGCCTTGATTCTTCTTTTTTAGGAAGAGTAAACTATAAACAAAAAAGGAAATTAATATATTATTACATATTTTTCACAGGGATTAAAAAAAAAGAATACACACGAGATCAATGAACATCCTTCTCCATAGTTGTCACAATACCTTATATTCCTATATTAATGCAGCTGTATCATGCCCTAGTCAACTCATGTTTGGATGTTTTGAAAGTCCCTGAAAACCTAACTGTTCTCCCTGGCCTCCCTCAAGGCTAAAGGTAGTCCTTGACTCATGACCAGTTGCTTAACAACCATTCAAAGTTATGATGAAATAAAATAAAGTTATTTACAACCCGTCCTTGGAAATACAATTGCTGCATCACCCCTACAACCATGTGATAGTATTTTCGATGCTTTGCAGTTGTTTCACATCTATGACTAGTTGCAGCACCTATAATCATTTAATCATGTTTTGTGCAAGTTTTGCCATGGGCATTAAGTAAATCATTTGCTTAATGACCATATAGTAACTCAATGGCCAATGTAAAAAATAGTTGTAAAATTGAGCCTGGTTACGCGATGACTCTATTTATGACCATAACAGCTTACAATCAAAATTCCAGATTCAAATGTGATCATAATTTGAAGGTTACAGGTTACTGTTGTTGTTTGATTTGGTTTTTGTTCTCTTCTAGATGACTGATATTTTTTCAGTTTTTACTGAGTCTTGTTCTTGAACCAGAGTAGGCAAGCTGCCCAAAGTTATTTTTTGTATTCTGCCTTTATTATTTTTACAAGAAACCTAAGGTGGTGAACATATCTTTTACACCTTTCTTCTCTGGTTTTCCCCACAACAAAGACTTCTAAAGAAGTTAATCCCAGTGAGTTCAACAAAGACTATTCCACTCACAGTAAAGAGATATACTTTCAACCTAACTCTTTCACCGGGTAATAATACTCTTTATATGACAGAAGTAACTTCATCCAAAACAAGCTCTCTTGAGATGCCACCCATGATCACAAGATTGAAACTAATAATCCATACAGAATTCACATTCACTTGTCTGGATTTGAATCTATATTGTATAGAGGCACAGGAAGGCAGGCCAAGGTAAGTAATACCTGGGGACATCTTGGATAATAACTTTTAGCTTACTGGCTCAGCCCTGTCACCACAACTTCTCTGAAAATTGATTTTCTACTACCTCATATTTCTTCTTATAGGTGAAAAACATCTCCATCACAAAATTCATTTAATTTTTCCATTAATAAAATTTCAGTACACCATAATTGAAAATTACCTTCTCTGGGATTTCAGTTGCGTTTTCCATAAGTGAATGTACTTCTGGAAGCTGTTTTTTGTTAGAAGGGATTGTTGATTGTTCTGAAGGCTGACTGTGAGACATCATGGTTGACCGCAGAGTTGTGGGGATTTGATCACGTAGGTCTTCTACACAGAGATTACCATTTTCCCTATTGCATATAATAAACCTCTTAATGGCAATGGATTGGCACAGATTGTTACTCATTACTTAGTAGAAGAAATTAAAATTTCTACCCAAAGTTATGATTTGGGACTCAAATTATTTCAGTGGAATTATTTTTATTGTTTCTTATTGTTATTGCTGCAGTTGTTGTATTTGTTTTAACCCTTTTTATTTTGTGACTTCAGGTCAATTTTTGACTTCTAGTCCCTACAGTATTCTTTACAAAATTTCAGAAGGAGTTTGCCATTGCCCCCTTCTAAGGCTGGGGGAAAGGGACCAGCCCAAACTTGCCACCAAAGACTGAAGAAATAAGCAAATTTAAGTTCTTGGAATCAAAAGCAGCATCTACAAGAAGCTTTTTTTTTCTTTAATCTTAAAGGAGCTATGTCTCTTTCCAGGCTTGTTTGCTGCTTGGAAAGCTGATCCCATTGTTGCTGCTAAACAAAGTAGTTCTGCATGTGTACAGAGGGACAGCTGGAAGCTGCTTCAAAACAGCTGTGCAAGCCAGAAAAATATAACAATGGAAGGTTGCTTCATATGTGCTCCTGCCTGTTCCAAAGAATGCCTTTTAAAGAATTTGTACAATCAATGTAATGAATCAATAAGCTATATATAAGCTTCTGTAGTTTTTCCATGATAATAGACAATACATTCTGGATCTTATTTAGCATGTATATAAATGCTATAATATTTTTTTAAGCACAAAACAAATATCGTTCATAGACAAGAGAAAAATAAGTATTTTATGTTAAATATTATGAATTTAATGCCCTATAAATTTAAGGTATTTATTCCCTGCTATTTTAGTAAAGCTAATGTTCCTACTCCATTCCACATCAGGAATGAACATTTGACCAAAAAAAAATCTGTTTTACTCTGAAATATTACACAGAGGTTTGCTGCAGTGCTGTCCTTGAACTGTCATTGCAACTTTCATTACTTTTTGTGATTTTGAAAAAAACCTGATGTTTCAATTATCTAACAATACAGGAACATCCAATATTTAAAATATTAATATATTTATATATGTGTGTGTGTATGTATATATGTATGTACAAAATCTCTAATTACATTTTGCATATGTACAATTGTTATAGTATTCATCTTATTTTATTGTGCTGAAGGAGTAATACCTGCAATTACAGCTGAGATAAATAGAACAAATAATTTATTCAGCTACCACTTATCATAATGACTCAAACATAATTTGACTCATTTAGCACACTGCATATCAGATTATATTTTAAGAGGCAACTTGACACTGAAACTCACTGACACTTTTTCAACATCAAATCTCCTTGCCTTAGCAGGCTTTCCTTTTCCAGTGAAGTACGCAGAACCTTGAAGATGTATTTGTCTACCAACAGAGAAAAACTGTCACCTGGACACAACTGATGCCACTTATCTCTATCCAGTGGAAATAGTTGGTCATCTTCAACAGGCCAGTAAAAACAAGGGTTCACATGGACCTGCCAATTAAGAAGACTCTTAGTACAGATATCAGTGAAGACCTTGTAGGACTTAATAGGCTTATTTAATGTGGACTGATTCCATTACAATGCAGCAATGCAGCTTATTCTGGGAGAGTAATTACTTTAAACACAGTGAGAAAATGATTGTTATATATTAATTGAATTCACAGACCACAAATAAGGTTTACTAGTACAGAATCAAGAAAATTCCTTGCATGAGGTATTTCCATCAATTTACACTCCTGCCAAATGCCACTACAGAGAATTTCAGGCTCCCTTGTGGAGAGCTTAACAATAATGATCACAAGACATGATGATGTCAAATGATTGTTTTGCACAAATGGCACAATTATTTAACAACATCTGAGATGCAAGCCAGAACATTTCCTTGCTGTTTTTCACTCCCCAGAAATGCCCATGTTATAGTGGAAAGAAGGAAACTAAAGACTATTGGATTATTGAAGATAAATAGTTGTTCTTTCAATCTTACCTCACAAATATATTCACTAGATACTTAGGAAATGAAAAGAGAAATTTGAAGTGATGGCCAATTGTATTTTGAAACACAGCACAGCACCTCTATGTTGTTCATTGCAAATAGGCATTTCCCTTTTCAACTTTCTATGTAAGCCTAGAAAAATATGTAGCTCCTTTAACAGTAGTAATAATTCTTAAATAAAAGTTAGGCTCAGCTGGTATAACATCGTGAAAATATAATTGGCCAGCCTGTTGTCATTATACGGTAGCATGTGAACTAGAAGAATAGAAAAGGTAAATGTGCTTTCTACCATTTAAGCCTCTATTTCCACTTAGGGCTAAAAATGAAAGGATATTCAACACTACCCACCGGTTTGATGCTAAGCTGGTCACCAACTATTTTCAGAGTAGCATGCTTCCTGGAAACTTTTTTATCTGTAACCTGGAAATAGACAATTAAATTATTTTTCAGCAGTTAATATGACGGGAATAATTATTGTATAATAAATTATTGTATAAATTATTGTATAAATAAGCTATTTCCTTCAAAGAGAAACTGTTTTGTTTTACCTATTATTAAAATGAAAATACTGCTCATCCTGTTTACACACAATAAAATATGCATGGCAACTCATGTCAAATACAGATTAAGCTATCCAATTAAGAACTAAAGAGCTAATTTAAATACATACTCATATTAAGGCACAGAGAAAGGAGAAAAACAAAACAGCACCTCCATTTACTTTCTAAATCTATATTCACTATCTGGAAAATAGACTGCAAAAAGCAACTAACTAAAGACAGAGCTCTTCCACCTGAACAGCATTACAGAATGGGAGCTTCAGAAGGTAGGTATAATCATGCAACAATATCTTAAATTCATATTAAAGATACAGAAACCTTGTCCTTTTTTGGTATGTATCCATCATGGCTAATAGGTCAAAATACAAGCATGAAAGGCCATTATTCCTTAAATGATTTCAACTGTGATCCATAAAAACTGAATACAAAAGTAATACCATATAACAAATTGCCTTGTAGTTTCTTTTATTGTGGTCATCAACTTAGAAGATTTACACAGCTCTGAATAACTGGAAAAGCCCTTATTAAACTAAAAAAAGAATTGAGAACATAATTATAATTTTCAAGTATGTAATAATACATAACTATAATATACAATATGCCCTCAAGAAGTACAATTAATTGTGGAGGTTCCTTCACAGAACTTGAATATTGTGACCTCTAGTGGACAATACAATATCTATACTCAATCAAATATATAGTGTATTACGGTATTAGTGTGATAATCTTCTTTCAACTATTGAAAGTAAACAATAATCTGCAAATTAGAAAGCACAATCACAATGAGGTTGATGAAATAAAAAATTGACCAAAGCAACATTATTTTTAAAGAAAATATTACAACTTTCAGAAACAACTTGAAAATTGGAATTTTATTCCAATGATAAAAAAGCTGGTTATTTGAGATTTCGTGGTTATCCATCTGTATTTATTGCTTATATTGGCTTTTCTTTTTGCATTTTACATATTTATATGCCTTTAAATGTATTTGTATGAGAAATACTGTTTTTCTTGAAATTATAATGAATATATGTATGGTTCTGGACTCAAAAAGAGGTTTCAGCCTTGAATTAGTATGCTAAAGCAGGGGTCCCCAACCCACAGTCTGTGGACCAGTACCAGCCATGGCATGCCAGCAACTGGTCCGCACAAAGCCCCATCCATGAGATGCAGGTAGCACACAAAACCACGCACTCTGGTCCGCGGAAAAACTTCTCTCCACGGAACCAGTTGCTGGTGCCCAAAAGGTTGGGGACCTCTGTGCTAAAGGATGTCATAAGAACTAATTCAAAGAGAATGAAACAAAAGGCTTCTGGTGGAAGACTGTGTGAACAACAGAGCTGACCGAGGCAGAATGAAAAGACAGCAAGTCTCTTTGATAATTCCTCTCCAGATAAACAGAGGAGCCTAGTAAGTTTTTCAGACAGCCGTTCTTCACAAGGAGACAACAAGATAGGGTCTCCTGCTGGTTCAGAGTTCTAGGAGATGAGGTAATAGCCATCTTGCTCAAACCCAGTCTGTGGTTTTGAAAGGACACAATTTTTAAATTTTTACTTTTTGTTTGCTACATACATTTCTTTTCTATTTTTATTTTTTTCCTTTCTGCGCTTTCTATTATTTCTTTTTCTTTTTTAGTTTGTATTAGTTTTTACTATTGTAAATATTACACTTTAATAAAATTACTATAAAAACAAAGAACAGTTACTATATTTGCATTTGCACAGCACCAGAGGTAGCTGGTAGGAGTACCACGCAGTAAGTTCAAGAAGACTGAGATTTCATCCAATGGAGCAAGGTAGGCATCTAGGAGCTGAGTAATTGGTTGCATTTGCATAGCACCAAAGGTTGCTGGGAGGAGTATTTGTATTGTTGTAGAACAGTGGTTCTCAACTTGTGGGTCGGGAACGACCATTTCATGGGGGTCGCCAAACAACGCAGTCCACTATTTTTCCCCCTTTTCCTTAGCTGTGCTACTCCCTTTTATTCTATTGGCTTTTGAAAGCCAATAGAATAGACTCTCTTGAATAGAGTCTAATTCTATCGGCTTTCAAAAGCCAATAGGAATTGTCCAGGCTGTCTCTGCCCTGCTGAGCCCGCCAAAAGTCCCATTCTGCAAACAGTGCTGCAAGTTGTCTGCAGTGAAGGTGAGCTGTCTGGAAGCTTCCACCCCTCCCTGCTGAGCAACTACTAAAAATTTAAGTAAAAGAGGGCCAGGGGTGGGAGGTGGGAGGCCGGTGGGCGCAGGGAGGGTTGCTGGTGCGCGTGGGGCCTGGCGGGTGCCTTACCTCCCTTGGGCTGGGCCAGCTGGTGGCCCAGCCGGTGGTCGGCCTGCGCCGTCTCTGCCACTTGCCAGCTACGCCTCGGCCGGCGCAGGGGGCGGCACCATGCACGCGTGGCGCTCCCAGGCAGGGAAAATCCTCGACTTACGACTGGTTGGGTAGTCCTCGACTTACGACCGGTTCGGTAGTCCTCGACTTACAACCGGTTGGGGTCGCGGCATTAAAAAGGTTGAGAACCACTGTTGTAGAATCTTTACTTTTTGCTCCTTCTTTGAGAGACCTGAGAGGTAGCTACAAGCTGGTGAACCTCCAGCAAACTTTATGGCTGAACCACGATTAGAAATGGTGCTTTGCATTTTGCAATCTAGCGTTATGTCACACTGGATCCTCATATGGCCTTTATTTCACTCTTAGAATGAGATATCCTTTTCCAGTCTGGAAGGGGAAATTTACACTGAAACTTTTAGGATGGGTTTTTCCCAATGTCCAATCTACATGAGAAGGTTGCACTAGTCACAGGATTGAAAGGGTTTGGGATCCAAAAAACACTTACCCAAGCTAAACTCTGTATTCTACATATATTCCTATCATTACTCCCTATAGCAGTGGTGGCGAACCTATGGCACGGGTGCCAGAGGCGGCACTCAGAGCCCTCTCTGTGGGCACACGTGCCATTGCCCCAGTCCTAGGCTTTCAGCTGGGTAAAAAAGATCTTGCAAAGTTGGAATTGATTGAACTTTTTAGTCCCACCAAGTTTGCCTTTACCACTGCAGCCACGCCCACCCAATGAGCCACACCCACCCAGCATTCGATGATGCATAAGTGGGTTTTGGGTTGCAGTTTGGGCACTCAGTTTCTAAAAGGTTCGCCATCACTGCCCTATAGGAAAGGCTACAAGAAGGAGTGGCAGAGACATAGATCTCAAGATCAAACCCCAGGGCAGAAGCACCTCAATCTGCACATCTAATCAGAAAGGACAATTACCTTTTGACAGCACGTACACAACCATGCCCCCCAAGTCCACAGCAAGGATCAATACCCCTGTAAAAAAAAGTCTCTGCACCCCATTTTCTCTGTAACTTAATCCCAAGAGCAAACCTCTTTCGGGAATAAATAAATCTCCTTTCCTCAGTGTTTGGATTTCATTTTGATTTGTTCATCGGCAACTCCAGCTGAATTGGAACTTCAAATAATTCTTCTAATATCACCAAGCCACAATACAAGTTATACTAAAGTTATCAGATGCTCTAAGAGATCCTACCAATGTGGATAAAATATGCATATTTAATATCAACATATGAATTACATGCATGTAAGATCTGGTGCAATAATCTGGACTCCTTTAATTGTACTGTTAAGTGGCTCAACCAAGCAACATTGCTTCTTTTAGCCTTTCCACCTTGATATGTTATTATTTTTTTGTTAGCTTGCAAACAAAGTCCATTAAATCTTATTGATTGATTTCACCAAGTTTTTCCAAAAGACAAGCCCCTTAATTGACTGGTGGGGCGGGTCTCATTGGTCCATCAGGTTGCTTTGAATACATGACCAGGTAAAGACGCTGTAATATATGTGTGTGTATCTCCTTCACTTGCCCACAAAGGGGTCGCTCACGAACTCACTGCTAGTGCCGTTAGTCCTCTCAGTCAACTACACAAACATACTAGACAAACTGGCATTCCTTTGGCGAATCGCTGTGGCACTTACTCCCAAAAAACAGCCTCTTCCTATCACTGTCTCCCCGAGCGGCAGTGGCAAAGGGCAACCCCCGTCCACTGGCACTAAATGAAACCCAGACACGGCAACAGGCCTCTCGCATTTCCCCTTGGAAGTAAGATTCCACAAGGGGGAAGAAAAAACAGCAACGTACCGTCCGTCCCTTTTTTGTATATACCCTTCCTATCTGCTGAACTGAAGCATGCCGTTCCGGTGTAACCAATAACTCGCTGCCTTTTGAAAGAAACACACCCATAACTGCGCCACAAATCCACTACGGAATTTCCTGCCTCGCCATCGAACTACAACTCCCAAAATGCTTATCGACAAAGGCGGGTGTTTCGGGAGCCTCTGATTACGTAATTTGCAATGGGGAAGAAAAAAAAGGAAACAAATAAATTCGAATGGGAGAAGCCGTTAAAACCGTTAGCTGAAACGGAGGGCCTGGAGCCAGGTGAGGAGCCTCGAGCCTCCTGCGTTCGTCGGTGACGTCGCGATTGCATCCAATCACCGAATAGGGCGGAGCTGGGGAGCGGGGCAGTTAAATAGCGGCGTTATTCTCGTTGAGAATAAAGGTGTGTTGGGGAGGTTGTGGAATTCCTTTGACGTACATTCTCAGGCGGATTCCTTTCAGTTTTGTAGAATTATACAGAGCTGGTGTGGAAAGTGCACAGTGTCCCGTCATAATATCCAAAATTCGCTATGAGGGGTCCTTGGTGCTCACCAAACTTCGTTGTTTTCTTGTAGACGTTTCATTACTCAACTAACTAGCATCGATAATGTTGCCTAGTTTGGGTAATGAAATGTCTGCAAGAAAGCAACCAAGCTCGGAGAGCACCAAGCACCCCTCGTTTCAACTCCTTTAAAATTTGCCATTCCTAACAGTTGTATATGCACGCACAAACACAATCCATCCTGTGAGCAACCAAGCTTGGAGTTCTAAGGACTCCACAGTTCATCCCTGAGCTACATATATTCACTTTTTATTACAGCCCATCCTATTTTAGCTGCAACTGTAAATAAAAAAAACTGCTTGCATATATCAGGAGAGCTAATTAGTGTGTTTAATTGTGTTTTTTTATTCTAATTCAATGCATGGACTTTTTATTTGAGGTGTATGTAAATTTGATGACTATTAATAAGGTTCAATACTTCAAAAAATTATTCTAGAAAGAATCCTCAAGATTCTGTTCAAAGTCACTAACTCCCAAAGAGAGAAACATAGTTTTGATCCATTTAAAATTATGAAGTTTACTTTGCTAATTGCTTTACATTGGAACCCCCCCCCCAAATGTTTTAAGCCACCCAATTTTAAATCCTAGGGAAACAGTAGTCAAGTACTCCAGTACTTACATATTTCCCTTCACGCTGCATTTAATATTAAAGGATGGCTTATTTGTGTGGCTGTGCAAAACAACTGCCAATTCTTTTGTTAACAGGTGAAACTTATTTACATTTAGCTTCTTAGCTTATTACTAAATCAGCCCTCTTGCCAAGCTCCTCGTGCCTTTTTTTTCCCCTGATGTTGAAATACCAGGTTACAACACAATATCAGCCCCACCAAACATTCCAGGCTTCTGTGGATTTCCCACCCACTCCCCATCCCTTTCACCATCCTACTGCAAAAGCCTTGAGGAGTGTTTTTGTGAGAAAATAAAAAGAAGTATTTTAGTTGATGGGCAAGGTGTCTCTCTTTTTTTAGAAGAATGGCTCAAGATCATTGACAGAATCACTTAAATTTTCCTCCCAATCATACTACCAAATTTGTCAAGCTGCAGTAACAGAAGGAATCAGACCACACTTGTCAGGCTGTGAGCTTTATGTAGGATGCAGAAGTCATTTAAAACCGAAGATTCAAAACTTTAAGAATAATAGTTATTGGTTCAACCAGAAAAACAGGTTTTTGTCATATAAATATGTAGTCACTACCTATCCCATCTATGCTATTCTGTCATATGTCTTCAGATTCTGATCCTGGCTCATCACGTTTTACAGGCGACTACAGTCATAATGTAGGATCTTTGACTTACAATGGAGTCAGTATGAAAATGGATGAAAGTGTTAAGCATGACTTGGGAGACCCAATTGCAAATCTACTCTGCCAGTGGCTTGGGGTCAGTTGGTCTCAGCCTAGCCTACCTCGTAAGGTTCTTGTGAAAAAATAAAGATCACCATGGTGGTCTTCCTTTATTTTTCATTTCTTCAGTTCTGAAAGAAAAGGCAGGATGTAAAACTAACCAATCAATTAATAAATAAATACACATGAATGATACATGGGTAGACCATGAATGTATCCTTACCTTCAGGTAAACAATCATCCTAAGTCGCCCTTTTTGTCTGCCAGTGAGACTGTGCTCCACTCTACAGGAGGAATATCTTCACTCCAAGCAGATACTTCCTCAGGCCCAGCTGCCAAAGCAATTTTGTTGCAGTCATAGAAACTTTTGTCCAGCTTTCAAGCAACAAACAAGTGTGAGTTGGAAATGAATAAAGTAATAATGATATGTATTAGATTTATATCCCATTTTTTTCCAGGGGTTCATAATCACACTGAAGCAAAACAGTCAATTGTTTCATATAGTGGATACATGTATAGTATGTGCAAAAATCTGAGAGCAATTATTTCCTTTGGCTCAGTTTGGAAAACTTGTCTCTGGATAATTGTTACTTTTCAGTTAGTGTATCACTTCAAGGTGCTCCATTTAAATGAATAGAAAAAAATATGCCTGCCTATGTGGACACACATACACACATGCACTCACATATCTATACAGTATGTTTCTTAAGAAAGGCAAAGTATTATTCAGAGAAAACTGTAAGCAATAGTATTAAAACCCAAATTCCCAAAATGATTGTGCTCATAGTCACTATATAGAGATATTTTGTGTACATTTACATAGCACTGATACTTAGCCAGAAATAGTGCTTTAATGACATTAAATAGCAGCAAATGTTTCTAAACAGAGTTTATTATAGTTTCATTTCTAATAATTTTATTTTTTTATTTTATTTTTTTTTCAGACAGGCTGACTGGTATTTTAACAAAGTCTAAACTATGAAAAAAGGGTCTAATCAGAAATCATCCAAACAAAACCAGCAGACTGTTGCAACGACTACTTGTAAGAAATTGTTCTTTAAATTTTCTAAACAGAAGAAACGCAACAGTCAAGGGGACTTTGTAAAACTATTTCCATTAGAAGTCAGCTTAAAGATCTTTAGCAAACTTGACATTCAGAGTTTGTGCAATGCAGCAATAACTTGCAAAAGTTGGAACCAAACCATTGAGCACTATGATGATTTATGGAAACACCACTGTTTAAATATAAGAGCTGTCTGTCAGCGAGAGGTTGATGGTGACAGAGGAAAAGGGTACTCATGGAAAGTAAGTTTAATTGATGCTTGATTATAGTATGATCTCTTATATCCAGATCTAATATTCCATGCGCAGTATCACTAAGTCTTTTGGCACAGTTGAAATTTGTCAAGCTTTTAGGGTATTTACTTGAAAGTTAATCTGTAGTATAAGACTAAGCTACTTGTCTTATTTTTTGGCAAAACTAGGAAGAAAGATGACAAGAGACAATATATTTCTGTAAATAATTGCTTTTAAGATTTTGCTAGTAATTTTGGACTGCAGCTTGTGAAAGCCTCACTATTTAGAATAGCAGATAGAAATTTTTGTATAGAATATCTGAATTATTGGTTTTCCTTCACTTCATTCCAGTTCTAGAAAATTAAGCTGAAGGAATGAGTAACTTTTTGCTGGTTGGGCGTCAGAGAGATCAAGATGTACAGAAGATGAGGGAGGATTCCAAATGGACAGAACTGCATCACACAGATGGGATTTTCCGGCTTTGGAACAGCAATTATTATTTTTTTTTTAGTACAAACCTATTTTAGGACTTACACCAGTTTTCATATCTCCATTCTTGAAACTAAAGAAACTTTATTAGCCTGGGGTCACAGCAAATTCAGAATAAGAGTTGCCAGTGTTTAAAGCTGCAGGCTATGCAATGGTGGGATTCAAATATGTGGACAATCGGTTCTCTGTGTGGATGCCGCTTCCGGAAGTCTGTCCTGGGCCTGGGCCACAAAAAATTAGCTACCAGTTCTGCCGAACTGATGCGAACTGGCTAAATCCCACCACTGCGGCTATGTATCCCTGTCCTAAACAAAACCCAGAAACAATTCCAAGAGGACTTGCTTTCTTGAATTATGTCCAGGGAGAGACCATCCTCTAGGATAGATGGCAACAACATGACATCAAACTTCTGCACCTTCTTAAGATTCATGAAGCAGGCCATAGCTTGCTGTCCCTTTTAGCACTGATTCAACAGTACAATTATCTAGTTCAGGGATGTCAAACTCACGGCATCATGGGACGTGTCACGATGTACCATGAGTTTTTTCCTCTTGCCAGAGTTGGGGTGGGCGCGGCTTCTGCATGACACATCCAGCCTGTGGGCCAACAGTTTGACACCCCTGATCTAGTTGTACTCTCCTGCTTTCTATAAGAAGCCTGGGTAATTTCTCAGAATGGAACATAGTTTCCATTATAGTTTCTACTTAATAAAAAAAAGTCTACTGTATTGGGATAACAGGCAATTATAGCAGGGCTTATTCTAAAATAATAATAATAATAATAGTAGTAGTAGTAGTAAAGTTGGAAGGGACCTTGGCGGTCATCTAGTCCAACCCCCTGCTCGGGCAGGAAACCCTACACCATTTCGGACAAATGGCTGTCCAGTCTCTTCTTAAAAACTTCCAGTGTGGGAGCATTTACTGCTTCTGGAGGCAAGCTGTTCCACTGATTAATTGTTTTCACTGTCAGGAAGTTTCTTCTTAGTTCTAGGTTGCTTCTCTCTTTGGTTAGTTTCCACCCATTGCTTCTTGTCCTGCCTTCAGGTGCTTTGGAAAATAGCTTGATTCCCTCTTCTTTATGGCAGCCCCTGAGATATTGGAATACTGCTATCATGTCCCCCCTTGTCCTTCTCTTTGTTAAACTAAACTAAATCTTCTATCATGCAGCAATCGCATAATTGAGGAAGCCTCATGATAACTACTATGTTTTCTCATATAACACACAAATAAGTTGTAACATTAATGATTTAAGCTCTGAATCTTCTAGCATGAGAGTGTAATAATTTCCATGAATCACTAGTGGGCAGCAATATATTAGAAGTCCATTCTATTTTATTTTCCTGGAATGTCATCCTTAGAATACTGGCTTCAAATGACTTGCAATATAAGCAATGAAAACTATATGGAATGGAATAGATATGTCCTTTCAAATGAAAGGAGTTTACAGAGTTTTCCCATATGAAATTATTCTTAATCTGTGAAAAATAGGAATAATGTGGTTTAAAGTCAGCTTTTAAGAAGATGAGAATCGATTTTTTCCCATTAATTATGGAATTGTTTGCAAGATAAGACATTTTATACATAAGAAATTTATGTTTTGTATCTTTATTTATACCTCCTATTCTTCTCTAATTGCTTTTATCAGGTCACACTGCATAGAAACTACTGGAAAAGCAAAGTAAAGTATGACTGGCTGAGTGGAAAATATAGCAATATTCAGTCACGGAGTAATTTACCAGAAAAATGTATGTATCCCATGGATGTAGATACCTGGGGAGAAATCTTGGAAGCTGAATTGGAAAGAGTTTTATACAGAGGAAATTAGAGAGGAATTTGTGTGTGCATTTGTGTGCGTGTGTGTGTGTGTGTGCGCGCGCGCACACATATATATGTGTACCTTTTCTGTAGTTTGGTTTGTGATTGCTTTATATATGTTTATTTAATTTTACACTTTCAGAATTGTAAATATTTTAATTATTACATAATTTGAAATGCTATATGTAAAAATGTTTCTTGATGCTCATAAAGCACTTTATAAATAATGTCAAATATTTTATAAGCTGGTGGCTTAGTCTGCTAGTGGTCCTTCCAAATGGTTAGAACTGCTATTCCTTTCAATGCAAGCTTGCAAGTCCATTAATGGAAATGATGGAAACTGTAATGTAAAAGCTATGGAGGATATAGGTTACCTATCCTTAAAGTATATTGATTTAGAAGATTTTTGCTGAATAGTCTGATTTATCTTTACACTGGTCTTTGATCAAAATAAAGAATGGTTGACTAATCTGATTTATCTGTTTATAAACATTTTGTTTCAAGATTGCAATTAAAGGTATTGAATTAAAATTAAATTTCACTGCAGTTTTTAAATTTTAAAATAGGCCTATATAAGTGTGTGTTTAGATTTATAGATAAGGATTAAAATCCAAAATCATTACTCAAAATTGTGATATGGTGTTTTTATCCACAAAGCCTAATTGTCATAGCATAGTTCTTTAGACTACACAGTATCATATTAGACAATGGAACAGAATTCTGAAAATTCTGCAGAGGAAATACTTATTATTTTATCACAAACCAAATTTATGAAAATTTAACCTACAAATGATTCGTATCAAAACCTTAGTGAGAACTAAGCTCACAGCCTACTAATTACACTTCCTTCTAAGTTCATTAGACCAATGTCAACTTTAAGCAAAAAAAATATATCCCTTCAAAAAAAAAGCAACTGATATTTTCACAGCAATTTCAAATCTGAAAGGGTTAATAGAATCAAGAATCACAATATTTTGTGATAGCCAACTATTTCTTCACCTGCACATCTTTGAATCTACTTTCCTCTCACCCCAAACTAAGTTTTTGGTAAGTATCCAGGGAGTGGGGATCTGATAAACTTTGTGGGCAATGTGATACTGGGCTTTAGCAAAAAAGGAAGTAATTGACAGGTCTGCAACAGTATTGTAAATTCCTTTCTTCATTTGTTGCAGTTGTTGTTGGCCCTTTCCTACTATGGCTCTGTAAGATTTCCTATTGGCTTAGTTTCCTCTTTTTACAAGAGGCAATTTTAGGGGACAAGAGGGAGGCAAGAAAAATGTATTGCATCAGCTTTTCTTGAAATTTTCCTTTTGTGTCACTTCAATGACCTGTTTCTTTCCATTCTTTCTTCACTTTAACTTTTTTAATCTTGAGGAATTTGAATTCTTTAAAATACCCAAAAATATGTAACACGATTATCAGCAATTATAACCAGAGAATATTAAATTAATAATAAGCACTGTGGCTGGGTTAGCATTCTTACAAATGTATTAACATCTGACAGTGTACTAACATCCAAAGTTTGAGACTGTGTTTAATGAAAACATGAGTACATTTGTAACAAGCTGTCCTTAACTTTATACCACAGACATTCATTGAAGGTAAACTAGAACATAACAAATTATTTTTAGTTTGTATAAGCGAAATAGCTAAATAAGAAGATTATATTACAGTGTATGATCACAATCATTTGATCAATTTGGAGTATGAAATTTATTTTATCTGAACTTCTTGACTGAGGAAGTCTAAATTTCTCTCAGTAGAAAGATAGCAATAGCACTTAACAATAGCACTTAGACTTATATACCATTTGTCAGGTCCCCAATTCCTTACTGTTTTCCTTGCACATATACTCTTGTGCTCTTGTTTTAGGACCTGCCATTTTGCTGGGGGGGAGGGGAGATACTTGCTTTCGCTTGGGATAACTTTCGCTTTCTATTTTTCCTCTCTTGCCTCTATCCACTTGAGAAAGGAATGTGTCTCCCTTATCAGGGAGACGGTTACAGAGAAACGAAATTGGAGAAGATCTTGAGATGCGCGCCCACTGTGCCACCTATGGATTGGCTGGATTTCAAATGGATATTATGACTCTGATGGGAGGAGGAATATTGCTGGTTTAACTATACCGTTTAAGCAGTATTTTCCCCAGATCTCGCCTTGACTTCCCTACTGTTACTAACCCCTAATAAAAGTTTCCTTTTGAGACAATGCCTGTTTCAAGAGTTCTGCTTTCTTGGGTGGTTAGCTGAGGTGGGCCTTTACATAAGGCGAGATCTGCATAGTACTCAACCCGGAGAAGCTGCTGCCCTACCCGGGGAGTTGCAACTAAATTTCACATGGAAGAGTCAAGTGTGATCCTTGGCTTGAAAAAGAAAAACAAAACAAAAAAACCAACTGTTGATTTATGGAAATGATTGGGAAAAAACACCCAACTTTAAAAAAAATGGTTATTATAATTTTAGTGGAGTTTTTTTTAAGACAGAAGAAGGAAAAATAGTAACTACATATGATAATAACATAAAAATAACATTAAAGAAAAAAATTAATGACTGCTGTCATGCAAGAACATCTTAATTCTAGGTGCATTTCAGTGGCTATAATTTAACATGGTTTCAATTATATGAAACTTTAGGGTTTCAATGACCTCAGATCTGTGCTAAGTTGTAGATTTTATTATATTATGATCTTTAAACTTCCCTACAGTTGCAACTTAAAATTTTTTTTAAAAAAAATGAGTGCTATCGTATAGACACCAAAATACCAAGAAATTACAAAAATTTAAATCTGCCATGTCTTTTTCTTGGTATGCTTTTTGGTATGAAAGTATATCTATTTTAAAATAAAATTTTAAACCTACTTATTTTAAAATGGATATGCTCTTATTTTGTGGTTGCAAGCTGTTTATAAACTTTCACACACAACTGAAACCTTTAATACATAAAATATGACTCACAGCTGTGGTTTGAGAATTACTGTTTGACTCGAAGAGTTATTCAAATATGAGAGTAGGTGACAAATTAGGTACATATACAAGCCTGGGTGCATCTGCGCGCACACACGCAATATGTGAAGGTATAGCTAAATATTGTGAATTGGCCAAATCTTGTTCAGAACATTACAGATACAGATACTAAAATCTTGCAAGACTTGGGTATCATGTAAGATTTTTAAAAAAGACAAATTAGCATTTAGTTAATTGGGGGATTTCCAGTGGATGCAACAGAATATTCAATAAGTGTTAATAGTATGATGGCTGACTTGAACCTTCAGTTGTGAAAAGAAACTGCACTTTAAAAAGAGAGATCCAGCACTAAAGTTATAGACCAAGGTGTCAAACTTGCAATGTCACGTGTCGTGACGTATCACAACTTTTTTGCCATTGCCAGCAATGGGGTGGATGCAGTTTCACTATGATGCATCCAGCCCGCGGGGCCAGCAGTTTGACACCCCTGGTGAGGACAGTGGAGAAGATTGGTGACCTGAAGCATTTTTAAAGTCTAGAACAGTCACATAATATTCAGAAGTGGCTCAGTCAGAAACCTCCCTTATTTATTGAACTATAAGAAGGAGGGAGAGATGCAGCACAATCAGACTTGCAAGAATCCGTTATTATACCAATCTCAATTAAAATAGCTTTAACCTTCCTTGTGGAATTAATTTCTAGTCTGGTCTAATTGTACAGCTGATGAAGAACTAATCATGATTTCTAGCAGCAACTTGGAGTACAAGTATCTCTTGCAGACCGTAGCAGAACCTAGTTCCAGCTAGGTGTATCTCTTGCCTCTGTCTGTTCTTCACTTACGCATTTCTAAATAAGCTAGCTATGACAAAAATAAACTGTTTGATAATAATTCTTCCAAAGGAAGATAATGGGCTACAACAGTGTTTTAAACTGTTCAGAAAACAGGAGGTGAGGAAGATGATCAGCAATTTATATGAATAGGAGTACAAAAAATTGTGACCCATAGGACACATGCAACCCCAGCATCACTTTTGTGGCTCTCAGAACAACCTTCCCCACAATGGCTTTGGTCAGCATATCAATATAAATTTTTATACTAGGGGGAAATATGGAGGAATTTTAAGGATCAAAATAAGAGAGTTATGTTTTGTAGAGATAATATGCTCATTTAAAGTCTTTCTTCGAGGCTTGAATTCCACTCTCTCCCTTTTTGGAATACAGCTCTCAAGAAACTCTATAGGGCCCTTGAGCAAATAGAAGTGGTGTCGCTTGATCGAAACTATGCACAAAATAGGTAGTCCTCAACTTACAGCCACAATTGAACCCAAAATTTCTGTTGCTAAGCGACACAATTGTTAAGTGAGTTTTGCCCCATTTTATGACCTTTCTTGCCACAGTTGGAGGTGTTACGTTAGTGGCAAGGTTGTTAAGTGAATTTGGTCCCCATTGACTTTGCTTACATGGCTCCGGGACATTGCAATCATCATAAATGTGAGTCAGTTGCCAAGCCTCTGAATTTTGATCACATGACTGCAGCAACAGTCATAGGTGTGAAAAAATGGTCATAAGTCACTTTTTGCAGTGTTGTAACTTTGAACAGTCATTAAACAAACTTTTGTAAGTCGAGGACTACCTGTAATGAAATGAGGGTCAAATTACTTCCAGGACTGCCTCTCCTTGAGAGTATCTGCCCATCCTACTAAGTTAATTAATGTTTGCCATCTGATGGGACCTCAGAGTCGAGCCTTCTTGGTGGCTGCCCCGGTCCTTTGGAACAACCTGTCACTTGAGACCTGAGGGATTCCTCCCCTTTTAATCTCCCAAAGGACTGTGTAGATCTGTTTGGGTTAGGATGGGGACTGAACTGTGAGGTTGATTGGTCTGGTGCCTGGAGGAGAAAGAGTACTTTTGTTTTAAATTATGTTTTAAATTATGTTTTTTATGGATTGTGTGAGTTGCATAAAGTTGCATATGAGATAAGTGGCCACATAAATCCAATAAATAAATAAATAAAACAATGAAACCCACAGGAGAGTTTTGTAATACAGTATCTTACTTTATGGAGGCTTCCCTGTTTGTAAAAGGCAGTCCTTTAGTTGAAGACTTTTTCTTTGTCAGTTTTCCCTAACATGGCCCTTTCCTGATGTAAAGTATCACAACTTCCATAGTCCCAAACCAGAGAAACTAAAGCATAACAATTCAACATATCTGGAGGGCTAATCCAATAATGCTCAGCTAGGTTCTAGTCACATGGTTTCTCCATTTGCTGAGAGGTACTGTATTTGTATTGTTACTAGATTTATACCTTTCTATCGTCTCACATACACATTTAATGTAGATAGTTATGTTTTGAGTCCATGATGATGAGATAAATTCTCTTTCTGCATTGGTGGTCATTGTCATCTCTGTAAACCTTAGCCCTAGTGACCTCTTTTAACTATTTAAAACAGACACTGTACAATAATAAATTAGATATCCTGTTTCCTTGTTTTGCAACATATGATAGCATATTTTTAGCACTTGAATGGTAACAACCACAGTGCAGATTATCAAGGAGGCAGTAGCTCTCAGAGTAAGCTTTATCTTCGTCCTGTGGCTTCCTTTAACTTTTGAGTCACTGAAATATCCATGGTCCTGTCAACATGGATGATTTACCATAATGGCTTGTTCTGAGTAGGTTTCTATGGAAGGCATATTCTTACAACTCATTACAAAAAAACAGTGAATTTGCATGAATGTCCAGATAATCACTTTTCCTATGATAACTTTTTCTGAGCTGTTTTTTCCATTTAAAAAGAGGTTTCTAAATTAGAACTTATAACATGAAGTAAAATCTGCTACAGTAGAGAGCTAAACTAATATGGAGAACCATAAGCTGAGAATTACCAGCTTTGTATTTTATAGTGGTCAAGCATTCTTTCTGGATAAAGAAACTAGAGAATGTAGATTTCCATTTTTTCCTTTGTATTAAACTATGCTTTACCCACCTGAGCCTTGCAACCCAAATAATTAATCAGGCAGCTGATTTCAGCAGCAAAGGTCACCGTTTTATGGGATCTTGTAATTCTGACCTATTTTCCCAAAACAATATGATTGAATTGTGTTGGTGGATAATGGACACGAGGTGGCCCGGGGAGGAAAAGGGAGAGTTTAACTATGCTACCTTTTGTGCCAAAACCTCAAAACCCACTTTGCTTCTTCTGTACCTAAATGGATCTATCAGTAAACTTATACTCTTGATAAAATAATGTCCCAGACGAAAAATATAAAGTACACAGATACTTTCAAAGACACTTAGTTAGGAATGCATTGCTACAGACTTGGGAAAAAATAAAACAAAAACATTATATAAGAATTCCAATGTGGTTATCCCCAACAGAAGCTCCGAAATATCCAAACCTACTGGATATAAATAAGATAATTATATACAAGGAACTAGTAAACGAACAGGGAAATCTGAAAACAAAACAAGAATTGGAACAAGATATAGGCAGAGAGATTGACTGGTGGACATTTACACAAATTCAGTCTAAATATACAGAGGACAAAAAAATTATATAAGAGCCACAAGAATTGGATAAAATTATACATGGAACAGAAATAAAATTAATTAGCAATTTATATAAATACTTATTGAGATATAAAATGGAAGATGAGGTTGTCAAAGACACAATGATTAGATGGGCAAAAAAAATCAGATATAATATAGAATTGGAGAAATGGGAAAAAATATGGGAAACAAACATAAAATTGATTATGTCTGCGGCATTCAAGGAAAACCAGTTGAAGATGTTTTATAGGTGGCATCTTCCACCAGCAAAGCTTGCCAAGATGTTCCAGAACAATTTGCCAATATGTTGGAAATGTAAAAAAAGTACATGGAACATATTATCATATATGGTGGAGATGCCCAGTTGTGAAAAAATACTGGACTAAAATAAGAAGATGGATGGAAGAAATAATAGACCAACCCGTAGACTGGAAACCAGAGATCTTTCTGCTGGGTATTTTAAACAGAAAATATAGTAAAGAAATACGGTGCTTAATTCTACATATAACAACGGCAGCAAGAATAGCATACGCACAGTTCTGGAAAAATGAGAATATACCATCAGAGGAAGAAGTGATAAGAAAAATCCTGGACTGTGCTTAGATGGACAAATTAACAACAGAGATAAAAGAAAAGGAAGACACAGAGTATTATCTAATATGGAATAAGTGGTATGAGTGGTTGGAGATTAGAAATAATAAATGAGAATAAATGTGGAAAGGTCAAAAATGGAAAATGTGTGTATAGTAATGTATAGTAATAATAATATGTATTATTTTTAGTATGAAGTATAGTATGAAGTAAGAAAAATGCAAACAAGAAATAACGGGACAACAAGGACAAATATATCTAAAGAAGAATAAGGGGGGGAATGTAAATAATAGATTACCGTTAAGAAATTGCTGTTTTAAAAAAAAAGGAGTATACACTGTATGTGTATGTGTGTTATGTTTTGTTGTTTTAAAAAAATAAAAATATATTTTTAAAAAAATGTCCCAGGAGTTATTTTGCTGCATATGCCAATGGGATGGTTAACAGATGGATTAGATTAGACAAAATTAGCTTAGATTAAAATTAATAAAAATAAATATTAAATTAAATCCTTAATCCAGGAGGTGAAGATTTAAGATACTGAAAAACATTTCTGTGTTGCTGCTCTGGAATTAGCTTCACTCTAGTTTAGTCCAGGATCCAGATGGACTCTAATTCAATAGCCTTTTGGAAAGCTATCAAAACGTGACTGTTCCAAAAAGCATTTGGAGATTAGAATCTATGTTTTGTGTGCCATCTGTTTATCCCAGTTTGAGCTCCTTTTAATGTGTTGTACGATGTGGCTTGCATTCTAATTTAGATGTCTGAATTTCACCCAGAGATGTGAAATTCTAGTTGTACTGAAATCATGGAAAATAAATAAAACTGTTTATACCTGAAAATCCCCTCCCCAACTGCACAGCACAGAAATATAACATATGTTAATATCTGATTTCACTTTAAAAGCAGTGAAATGGATTGTTTATTTACTTAGGCATGACTGACAATAAATCTGCATATGTCCGTACATTTTAATTTTTTATTTAATTAGTTAATAAATTAATATAAATTTGGAAAAAATTAAAATGGAGTATTTTGACATATACTATCAATATCCTGTCTATATACAGCACAGAATTGGGGAGGATTCCCCCACTTTTAGCTCAGGAGAAGAGGCCTATACTCTACCTTGAATTGATTCAGGATGCACACGCGCACATAAACACACACACACACACACACACACACACACACAATGTGCTTATAATAGTAAAAATTGATTGAATTATGGAAAACTAGATTTAATGACTTTCACTGTAATGTAATATATGTTTAGTCAGAAATCAGCTCTACTGTGTTTAGCAAAATGTGCTCTCTAGTAAGAATGTAAGTATACAGTAGTCAACTGGAGATATTATTATATACTTTCATCTTAGAAATGTTCAATCAAAAAGATTAAATTGTGAATTAGAAAATCTTTTCTAAGTACAGGTATCTTAACTACAGCTTCTGAGTGGACTTAAATTAGCCATTCTCTGAGTTTTCACCTCCAATAGATGTTAATAATATTAGTTCACTGCTACTTATTTATAAGGCAATACATGTAATACACACTTTGAGACTCTGGAATACATTATAATTCCAGATATTATTTTTGTTTATGCTTGAGCTACTTTGGAAATGTTCTCAGATGATTGGGTAAAATTGCTTATCTATACAAGTACCTAGGGTTGTGATGTTTCCTTAAAAATTTCAATGCATATTTCCAAAGCATCATTTCCAAGAAAGAAAGAAATGATTCTGGTCAGTTGTTGGAAAATGTTTATCAATCCATTGGGTCAGTTCTTGAAAAGAATGAGTTACAGTTCTGCAGAACTTGTCTGAAAATCAACTGTTCTGTAGCCTGATTTTCTCCTGTAACACTAGTTTTGATCTTCTGTTGGTTGATGAAACACAAGATCAATTGTCTTTTCCTGTGTATTAATAATGCAATACACTGTTTCTGATGATTATTTCTTTTATGTGGTCAAATTCTTCAGTTAGGAAATTGGAACTCAGTGGAAGTTCTTGAACTCATTCAACTTGCTGTTCAGAAAAGCTCAGCATACTCAGCCAGACATGAAACACTCTTACTTATCTGATTCCTTCTGGAACCTTCTTTACTGTAACCCTCTGGCAGAAGGAGAAGCCTCCCTGCTATTCAAGGCCTCTTTTCAAGCATAGAGAAGGCAAAGACTGCTTATAAAATAACAAAAGGGGTAGGGGTCAAGCTGTCATCCCTCTTCTGCTACTCATATTACAGGTAGTCCTCAATTTACGACCATAGTTGAGCCCAGAATTTATGTTGCTGAGAAATTTGTTAAGTGAGTTTTGCCCCATTTTATGACTTTCCTTGCCACATTTGTTAAGTGAATCATAGCAGTTGTTAAATTGGTAACATGGTTGTTAAGTGAATCTGGCTTCCCGACTGACTTTGCTTGTCAGAACGTAGCAAAATATATTCATATGACCCTGGGACCACTGCAACAGTCATAAATATCAACCAGTTGTCAAGCATCCGAATGTAAATCACGTGGCCATGAAGATGCTGCAATGGTCATAAAGTGTGAAAACTGATCATAAATCATTTTTTTCAGTGCTGTTGTAACTTCAAACCATCATTAAATGAACTGTTTTAAGATGAGGATTACCTGTATTCTCAACATATGCAAATGGACTAGAGCTTATAGTTACAAATGCTCCTATTAGAGTATTTTTATTTTTTTCCTATTCATTTCTTTTGAATTCCCTCTGAATATAAGAAATTTTGTGGAGGTTACTCGTGAACTTATTCCAGTCTTTGAGGGGCTGCCACAAAGAAGAGTCACGTTATTCACCAAAGCACCAGAGGGCAGGACAAGAAACAATGGTTGGAAACTGATCAAAGAGAAAAGCAACCTGGAATTAAGAGAAACTTCCTGACAGTGAGGACAATTAACCAGTGGAACAGCTTACCACCAGAAATCGTGGGCACTCCATCACTGGAGATTTTTAAGAAGAGGCTAGACCAGTGATGGCAAACCTTTTAGAGACCGAGTGCCCAAACTGCAACCCAAAACCCACTTATGTATTGTCGGGTGCCAAGTGGGCGTGGTCCATTGGGTGGGCGTGGTCATGGTGGTAACGGCAGACTGGATGGGATAAAAAGTTCAATCAATCAATTCCAACTTTGCGAGATCTTTTTTTTTCCTGCGAGTTGAAATTGATTGATTGATTGAACCTTTTTTTTTTTTTGCATACAGCGGTGGAGGCCTAAATTAAAAAGGTTTTATAAAACCCAGCTGAAGGCCTAGGACTGGGGCGAGGACGTGCGTGCCCACAGAGAGGGCTCTGTGTGCCACCTGTGGCACGTGTGCCATAGGTTCACCACCACGGGGCTAGACAGTCACTTGTCTGAGATAGTATAGGTTCTCCTGCTTGAGCAGGGGGCTGGACTAGAAGACCTCCAAGGTCCTTCCAGTTCTATTCTATTCTATTCTATTCTATTCTATTCTATTCTATTCTATTCTATTCTATTCTATTCTATTCTACTCTACTCTACTCTACTCTACTCTACTCTATTGCTCAGTGGCCCCAAATCATGTGTGTCTACAAATCAGTTGTATAGGATTAATTATATAGGTGGAACTTTAATAAAGTGGCTGTAAAAATGAACACACTATGAATAAAATGACAGTGACTTTCCTGGAATGAGTGACTGTTAAAAATGGTCACACTACATAATACTTGGTTATATGGAAAATAAAAGCTGATGTGTGAAATACCTTAAGCTGCTATTTAAAATGCTGACTTTGGAAGTATTGCTCTTCTGGCTTGTAAATATGTAAGAGCAAATTTCTTGTTTACTAGTTGTAATAGTTGTGTGTTCACAACTTTGTTTATATCTTTGTCTCCATCTCCATCTCTATCTCTGTCTATCTAATTGAAATGAAAAAGGATCATTGTAGTTCAGCTTTTCCAATATGATACCCTCCAGAGATATTAGGAATGGAAAGATTATGGAACTTATAATTCCCAAACATCTGTTGGGAAAACTTTATAATTTTGGGCTAAAAAAAATCTATTTTATGCAAAAACTGGAGGAGAATCAAATTTACATGTATCTTTGTTGAACTTGTATCAGAGGATATGATGTACAAGTTGGTAAGATATTTAGTATTATCTTTTTATAATAATTTTTATTAATTTATTAAAATATAAAATACAAAGAGAAATTTTAAAAAGTAATAGAAAACTAAGGAGGGGGAGAGAAAAGAAAGAAAGAGAATATATGCTGTAAAGAGGGAAATGGAAAGAAAACGGTACCGACTTCCAACTCTCTTTAACATAGTAGAAGATAACATTACAACCTCAACTTTGTACTTTTACACAACAGAATATACTAGCCATTTCTATAGCAACAAACCTATAGTAAGATATTTACTATTATTATCAAACAGAAAAATATCTTTGACTTACAGTTTTGTGTTTAAGTTACAAGACCTCAGGTATTTATGACATAGAACAATGTTTTTCAACCTTGGCAACTTTAAGATGCATGGAATTCAACACCAAGAATTTCCCAGCCACCATGTCAAAGTCCACCCATCTTAAAATTGCCAAGGTTGAACAAAAGAATGGAAGGTTCATGTTTTTAGCAAAGACAATAATGCTGGCTTTATTTTGTTAAACTTTATTAAAAATATATTTTATTTTTCAACAGTATTGAAAATACTGTTTACAATGGAACCACAATATGCAGCATATCATATTTATCATATTTATTCATTCATCTGCTTCAGAATTGCCCCATACAAGAAAACAAGTATAACACAAGATTCTAATTATATGTATGATTGCATTTTAAACAAAAAAAAGTTTTGGATCCTTCAGATGCTAGTAAATTGGTTCCCTCACTATCCCTTATCATTGGCCATATTGGTTGTAGGCTGGGTGTTCGTCAGCAGCATCTGAAGATCTATAGATTACCATTCCTCTTTGGGATAGTAGCAAATACCGTAGAAAAATCTGATCTGCACAACATCAAATACTCTGCCAATTCTAAAACAAACTATTGTTAAATAACAGTTTAAATTTTAGACCAGCTGATATTCCTTTTCAGAGATTTATTGAGCTGGTAAATTTTTTTGAGGGTTTTTCTTTTTTCCTTTTTTGCTAAAATCACCAGTCTTTCATTTTCCAGTTCTGGAGACAAGCTGAATGGCCTTGATCCATTCTGTACGTTCTGCAGAGGTGGCTGCTTGAAGGACATAGTGCACCTCATTTGCGGTAATAATCTCAAAGAGGTTTCCCTCCACTTCATTTTTTTTGCCTGGTTTGGAGAGGACAGAGGAAAAAAAAGTGAACAAAGGACCAGGGAGAGGGCTTGTTTCAGCACTTCTGCCTCTGAAGAAATAACTCACTTCCATTCTTACTGGATAACAAGCATAAATGAAACTCTTTGCATTTCCATTTAATCCACATACAAAATTTCTACATTTATAAGACTCTCCTTCTGCTTAGATATGTAGAACCAACTGGTCCATTTTTTTGTTACCATTTAAAGTTAAGCTGCCACTTCCCAGAATTGGGTTCCACCCCAAAGAGAAAGGGAAGGAAGGAGGGAGGGAGCTAGCTTTCTGGCACCTCACCTCCTTCCTGACAGTAGAAATACAACAACAACATATAAAATATATTATTTAAGTATATAACATACCCATGCAAAAATTAATATTAAGATATTTATATTTATTCATAGTTAATGTAGAAATGAACTGCAGTATGAGGCTTGCCTTGGAAGCAACATTTCCCCGGTTATTGGGAGTGAAAAAGACTACATTAATTAGGTATGCTATAATTTTCAGAATGCTAGTCTGAAAATCAGGCAATACAGGCTCATGGGAACCCCTCACTTTTGGAAAATCTCTCCAAAACTGCACTACTGCTTTTAACTCCTGCTTAGTGATTACCATCTGATGTATCTTCAATTGCCGTCACTACACAGCCCCTCAAGTGAATGGCTCCAAGTGGCTCTTCTCCCTGAAAGAAATTTCATTCACTATTCATGCAGAGTCAGACTCCAGGAAAGAAATGGTGATCTCGAGACAGCACTGCTTTTAGTGGCAGAATACAGAGGCGGCATGTAGACTATCTCTTCATAATTTCTCTCTGGATAAGGAGAAAACTTGAGATTGACCATAAATGCCTTATACAGTTGCTCCTCGTGAGGAGACTCAAGACAGCAGTTTTACAGTGGATTTAGCAGTTTTACAGTGGGAGATGAAGGAATAGCCATCTTGCTTAAACACCTTCAAAAGGACACTGGATCTCATACTCTCTTTTCTAATTATTTGGGAAGTTGCTTGTTAACTGCTTTTCAGCTACTAGGAATCTTTGGATCAATAGGTTTTACAGCACCAGGTGAGTTTCCTTCAATCCTTAGTGAGAGAAGTTTTAAACACAACTTTAAGCACTTAATTTGTTTTCTTTTGGGGTAAACAGCAAAAGTGTGATTAGAACTTTGATTTTGGAAGGTTACAAATAAACTAGGGGTCCAGACAGATTTGAAATAAGATTTTGGAATTAATTATAAAAATCCTTCCCACAGGAAAATACTTTTGTTTTAAATTCTCTTTAAAAAAAATTAAAAAGGTAAGATGGGACTTTGAAAGTTGAACATGAGAGAAAACTAGGAGGAACTAATGATTGCAATGAAAGGAGAAGTACACTTAAATATGACGTATTAGTGCAAAATAAAGAAAAAATATTTTAACATTAGACATACTGAAGGATATGCTGATGCTAGATCTAGAAGTGAATTTTAAGAGTGTCTACCTCTATAGACTATATTTTAAAGATGTTATGAAAGAAGAACAAGTCTTATCTGACAAGACAGACTTATTTGAAATTGGATTTAAAAATGACAGGCTATATAAGAATGACATGGAAAAAGATATCACACATACAAGAGAAACCAGCTGATGTCTTCACAAATAATTAATAATTAAAAAGGATGTACAAATAACAAACCAAGAGATAATTTCCCTCTATATTGGATTTACAAAAGAGGTTTGTATTTTGGGAGACTGGATAAAGAAAAAATTGAAAAGAAATCAAGTTCTAGGACATTATTTAGGATAAAGACTGATATTAAAGGTATGTATGTATGAGTAGTTTTGCTGACATCCCCAGGGTCTTTATAGAAATTCTTAAACGAAACACAGGAAGAATAAACTGTAGAGAATGGAACTATGCACACTGTGCACACAAGCCCTAAGATTACTTCCTTATATATTGCCTATTCCTTCCCCAACCTCATCAAGATATCAGAAGGGATCCTTTTAAGACGGAAGGAAGGAAGGACTCACATGTCTTAGTCAGATCTGTGGTTTGGAAGAAACAGCATCATATTAGTTTAAAGGTCTTATTCATGAACTGTCTGACTTGGGGAACTCCCTTGTGAGGATTTTCTTAATAGGACACAGGTTCTGGGGCACAGTTTCACTATTATTACAAATAAATTTTGTGGCTTATTGGCTTTCCAACAGCTAATACTTAAATGAGAATCTCTTTTTCTTTCAGCAAATTCTTCGACATTTGATTTAATGACAAGGAGGGAAAAAAGAGGAAGAGGAGTAGATAAGACCTGTTCAAGCTCCCTTTCAGACTTCTTTGCTTAACACAGTGGTTCTCAACCTTTTTAATGCTGCAACCCCCAACCGGTCGTAAGTCAAGGACTACTCAACCGGTCGTAAGTCGAGGACTACTCAACTGGTGCAGCACCGTTTGCAGAATGGGACTTTTGGCGGGCTCAGCAGGGCAGAGACAGCCTGGACAATTCCTATTGGCTTTTGAAAGCCAATAGAATTAGACTCTATTCAAGAGAGTCTATTCTATTGGCTTTCAAAAGCCAATAGAATAAAAGGGAGTAGCACAGCTAAGGAAAAGGGGGAAAAAATGGCAGACTGCGTTGTTTGGTGACCCCCGTGAAATGGTTGTTCGATCCCAAATGGGGTCCTGACCCACAGGTTGAGAACCACTGGCTTAACATAAGGACGTCATGGAGAAATAGAGATGGTGCCCAAAGATATAAGATGCATGGTCCCATTATCTCTGCAATTTGTTTTCACATGTGCACAAAGAATGCCTTTGGTTGTCCAAGTGTTTGAAGGATAACAAAACTTATTCATGTACAGAGATAATGGAGCAGCCTTTTCCACACAGGTGATATCCAGATGCGTTGGAGTCCAAAAACTAGAACCCTCAACTACTATAGGTTCTGGATATTGACATTCAGTACTACCAAAGACAACTGTGCAAGACTATACAAATCCACTAGAGTTGTCTACTCAGGAAGTGGCTTCACCAAAAAGTAAACTGCATCACTTAATGTTGATAAAATATATTTGAGCTTTATTATGAAGAAGGATAGGTGCTAATAGTAAATTATGGGTGCTAATAATAAATTAGTAATAAACATACTATTCCTACAGTGTTCAGTAGGCAATTTCATCACCAAGTGGCATTTCAACAAAACTGAGTGATAAACACACTTACTGCCGCAGGATCGTAGTAATGCATGTAGGCAGGGTCCTCTCTCAAAACAAATTTCCGCACTTTCCAGTTTTTCCTTCTATGACCCTAAATAAATATTAAGAAAGCATAATTTTTTATTCTTCTGCTATGTAGGCATAAATTTCAAACTATAACCAAGCCTTGTTCTCACAATTGAACAAGACACTTTAAGTTATCCTCGTTCTAATAAAATCAATAGCAAAGATTCCAGTGATTTTATTGGACTTTTCTCTGATGATAAAATTGGCTATTTTATATGACATAAACCAGAGTCAATAACTTCTATCCTTAGGACTGAGGTCCCTTTTTGCAGATCTTAGAGCCTCTTGCTTTGGATTACCACCATTTGGCTGAATTTGATGATTTTCTCATAATTTTGAGTATGTGGTAAGTAAACACAACCAGTATGAAGTGCAAGCTATGAAATGAATTTACTATTTTAAAACAATATATTCTACCTTCCCTTCCTCCAAATAGAGAATGGGAGGGTGTAGGGGCAGTGGAGAACACTATCTTTCTCACAGATATTGCCTGGTTGCCTTCTTGTCTATAGATCCTGGCCACCACAAGATTTTCCATTTTTGATTTAAACTCAGCCACCTGTATGTATTTATCATATAATTACATGTAATATGAATATCACATAAATTATATTATGTGTATACAACCTTTTGGGGCATGACTTTTTTCCTGACTTATAGTCAAGCTTGCTTTTTATCAATTAAAAAATATGAATAAAAATCTCAGTTCTAGTTTTGTCTTTTTTCCCTTTTTTGTGTATCCTCCCCCCCTTTTCTTAAAAATGCTTAGTAAAAAGCTTGTTGAAAAGATAAAGAAAATGTGTCAAAAAGCAAAATGGACAGCATAAAAGGCAATTCAGTGGACTTTTTCATCTGGTGATTTGAGTTTTTTAATGAAATAGATATAAAATGTTTCAAGTTTAATTTGTTAAAGGTTACGTTTTAATAGATCTACTAGTCTATTAAATATAGGGAGCAAAAAATAAGAGTTAAACTTTATGTCTTTGAAACTCATTTAAAAACTGATCATCAGTTCTACCGTAGGTCTTGATCATTTCCACAAAATGTTGCAATTTTTTTATTTTCTACCAGAACAGCATAAATCAAGTCAGAAATTCAATGAGTCATATACTTTTAAGTCTTCGAGTGTTCTATATATGAAATCCTACTGTAATTCTATTAAAGCCAGATATGTTGAATGGAACCATTGGGACATCAGATGAGTGTTACATTTAATCTGTACTACCAAGGAAAATTACTCTTTTGGCTATCTGTTATATTTTAGCTCTCTTTCCAAAACTGTTGCAAGGGCAGATGACATCTTTTTAAAAAAAAACATTTACTCATATACCAGTAACAATCAGCTCATAGAACTGGTATGGATGTACAGTAAATGTAACTTCTCAATACCAGTCCTGCCTTCTGATATACCATATATTCCGGGATATAAGACGACTGGGCGTATAAGACGACCCCAACTTTTGAGAAGATTTTCAGGCTTTAGAAAGTCATCTTATACGCCAGAAAATACAGTACAATACTGAATTTCTGTTTATAGATGAGCACAATAGGAGCTCCTTTGCTGCTAGAAAGCTTTGTCCTATTAGTGCTTTTTTCTGTAAAAAAAAAATAGGGCTGGCCCCTAGGGGGCAGATTGGTTTTCAATTCAGAGAACAGCTACCCGTATATTCCTGCATATAAGACGACCCCTGACTTTTGAGAACATTTTCAGGCTTTAGAAAGTCGTCTTATACACCGGAAAATACATTTCTTGCCTCAAAAGCAAGTGAGCTTTGTTTTTCCCTTTTCAAAAAAGCCCTCCACCTCTTATTCTGTTCTGTGGGTTGAAACAAGTTAGAAGCTGGTGAGTGGGGTCAGCAAGTTAGCTCAGAAATTTACAGAGTGGCTGTATCTCCACTAGCAACTGATTGCTACTTAGCAATGCTAAAGTGCATGATGCTACAGATGCAGAATATAGCCAGGAAAATTCAGAGAATGTTGAGTACTTTGGAGATATTTTTAGACCGGCTGATTTCATTAAACATGTAATACATAAGTTTATATTTTATGTACCAAAAAACAAGATATATACCAACCTGTTTCAGCAGACAACCCTGTTTGACCACCAGGCCTCTGAATTCTTCCTTGAAGACCATGTCATCATCACTGGAGTTGCCCTCACAGAAGAAACCACTGTCTGCCTATTTTAAGACATTGAAGAAGACAAGTTGATAAATGTCTCCTAGGATAGTTTGGGCTGTTAAATAATGCTAGCGTTAGTTGGACATTAAAAAAAAACCCTGTTTGTTTTAGAGAATGGAGAAACCATTGGCTTATCTACCCATCCTTCCAATAGGGCCATTTTTTTTTGGTATGTATCTACTAACTTTCTCTTTAAAACAGAGGACAAATAGACAAAGACTTTTTTTTTTGTGGTTTGCCATAGCTGCTTTTCCTTCTTGGCAAATATATTACTAACTTTATTTTTTATGCTATAAACAGACTTCAGCAGATTTTGCCTTGTTGTATGCAACTTACATGTAACCCCCATATGAAATAAAGAAAGAAATAAAATGAGCAGCTGAGGCACAGAATAAAAGAAGAGCTCAGTTAGAAGACACGGTAAAGTTTGTTGCCTGTGTCTTAATTCACAGAATTATACAGCTGGATGGAAAAGTGAAGGTGCATGATAAAAAGAAGCTATTCATCTTGGTGAGGATAAGCTAAGGACTGACATCAGTATTGTTTAATCAATCAAATATGGTCTCTTGAAACACTATTAACATATCTTGCCAGATTAGGATGATTGTGGCCAAGTAGAAAAGGCAGCAACCAAAATAAAAGAATTAAATCCATCTCTTAAAAATCCTTTAAGTAAAAGATTATCTTTTTCTAAATAGTACGTGGACACTCTATCTTAGCAAACTTATATGTTTTATAGAGATTTGCCAATCAGGGTCCTAAGTAATTTTTTAACACAGTATTTGCACAAACATATAGCGTGAAACTCAAAGCTAGGTAATGTCATACCTTCCGATTTTTTTGAATCAACTTCCATCAATTTAGCCACTATAGTTTATGGCATTATGGAGATTATGGTCACCATGGACGATGTGATATCAGATTGCTGACTATTTTCTAGCTAATAGACGACAAGTTGTGTGAGCCTACTTTTAGGCCAAACTTGATGTGCACACACTAAAGAGGTTTATTGATCTGACTATAAAACAGAGATGACAGAGGTCAACTTTTATCATTATTCAGAATTTAAAAAATAAAATATCTATGCTGCTTTCATCTTTATTTCCCAACCAGAATAATCTTTCATGTCATAAAATATAAAATGGGAAAAGTTTTTAAGCTGCAGGATATGGAGTGGGAAGTTGGGAAGGGTATGGTTCAGCTGACAGATCATGTTCCAAGTACTGATAAAAATAGATCTCCCTCTCGGTGGTTATCATCAGATGGATCAGCAGATGTTTTGCAAGCAGACCCATGGTTGATTTATCCCTGAAGCTCTCTTGTGGGACACGTTCAGCAATTCTCATAGAGAAAAAGTAACCAGGGCTTTTTTTGTCATAGAACACCCAGAACAGAGTTCCGGCACCTTTTTTGGATGAGACCTTGTAGGGTAGGCAAGGCGGGTTGTATGACATGTGTGAGTTCTAGCACCTTTTTTTTTTTTTTTACAAAAAAAGCACTGGAAGTAACAATATCTGAAGTCTGGTTGGATTGACTTGATTTCCCAAAAGCATATATGTTGAACTCATATCTATGGTTAACCATCACATGATAAGAAAAAAACCCTGCAAAGTCTATACATTTGTAATCAAACATTACACATTACACATTTATTCCTATAAAATAACAGCAATTACAAAGGAAGTCTATACTGTACTGACTCAGCTCAGAGGCTCCATATGCATATATGGAGCATATATGCTATGATTTTCTATATAAAATGCTGAATCACATTTTTTCTTCAGAAGAAGCTATCAAATTATTTTCTAATTAATAAATGCCAGAAACCATTATAACTGACAGATTAATAAGACAAAGCTGTGCACATCTATTCAAAATTAAGTAAATCCCCCTCTGTTTGATATAGATGTAGTTAGAATTTCATTCTAAGGCACAAATTAATTATTAAATCATTCTATAATTACTGTACTTCGGTAACGCAACCTGCTGTTATTGTAATCAAGTATAAAAATTAGCTTGGTGGGTGTTTTAACACAAGCTCAGCCTCAAAGTAAAAAAAAAATTCTTCTAATAGACACCTAAAGTACCTGAAGTATACTGTTTTGCGTTCACCAATATATGAAAATAAAGACAATTAATTCAAGGGAGTGGCTTTGGACTGCAAATTTGGTGTGTCTTTTTATGAGCGAGGTGGTAAAAGTTACCAATTATCATTAATTTACCAAAGCTTTAATGCCTGAACCACTCTGGAAGTAAAGTTAGTGCAGAATTTATATGCTTTGCATGTGGAAGCATAAAAAGTAGAATTTTCAATTCATACAGTGTGTGTATGATGTTCAGACTGGCAGCTGGAGAAGCATCTGGTCTGGTCTAATGCAATGTTTTCTTTAAAAAAAATTGTAGATACACACACACAAACATCTTGGTTTTTTTGTTTAAAAAAGAGTGAGATAGGGAGAGCAAGCAATGCATTAGATCAGTCAAGATGCTTTTTTGTTGTTGCTTGTTGGATAGGTATACTCCCAAACTTTTCTGTGATTAGATAAAGAAGACAATGTCTTGACACTTACAAAATAGTAATAGGCATCCTCAATATCCAAGAAGGGGGTTTCTGATAGGCCTTGAAGTGCATTCTTCGATGTATCACCAGCAGCCTGAAAGTAGCCTTCATTCAATAGGGCAGATGCCAGCACTATACCCTCTTGGCGATTTCGTAATGAATTGTTTGACAGTAACCAATCGATCACAGAACTACCTGATGACAAGGAGAAGAAGAAAGGATGGCCACCAAAGATATATATATAAAAAACAGTAGATATGGTAAGGATTAAGAAAGCAGAAAAACAACTTCCAATGATGACTATCTCTGAATCTTATTTGAAATAGATTATAATGTTCTAGTTTAATGAAAAGAAGGATTAGAGGTAACATAATAGCAGTGTTCCAATATCTCAGGGGCTGCCACAAAGAAGAGGGAGTCAGGCTATTTTCTAAAGCACCTGAAGGCAGGACAAGAAGCATTGGATGGAAACTAATCAAGGAGAGAAGCAACCTAGAATTAAGGAGAAATTTCCTGACAGAACAATTAATCAGTGGAATGACTTGCCTCCAGACATTTTTAAAGTTTTTAAGAGAAGATTGGACAACAACTTGTCTGAAATGATATAGAGCAAGGGTCTTCAAACTCAGCCCTTTTATGACTCATGGACTTCAACTCCCAGAATTCCTCAGCCAGCGTGCCTAGTTATAGAGTTTCCTGCTTGAGCAGGGGGTTGGGTTAGATGACCTCCAACTCTTTATTCTATTATAATAAATGCTTAGACTGTAGCTAATGTTTTTCTAATGTCTTCAGAGTAAGTTTTTGTAAGCATTAGCAGTTAGAAGGAGGATGGACTCAGTCCCTGCAATTCCTTGTAGTACTTCCCCAATCATTATAAAGGATACTCCAAATTTCTTTAGTCAACTGAAATCATTTCTCTATTCTATTCACAAAAGTTTTGGTGCATGCCTCAATTTCTGGGACGCATGCAATCTTAATTATTTTTATAACTCATATTTTGTGACAATAAGTTGGATGGTATGAGTGTTAGATATGCCAGGAATTAAAAATATAATAGTTAATGGCTACCAAGCTTTTGGAAAAGTGGACTGTAATATATATTCTTTGCTTTGAGAAATATTGGAATGCAATTTGATTTAGGATAGGATAGGATAGGATAGGATAGGATAGGATAGGATAGGATAGGATATCCTTTTCACCCAAATTGAATCCCTCAGATTATTTTATTTCTTTACGCAATTTATTTTCTGCCTTTTATTCCTTATTTTATGTCATCGCTATAATTCTATTTTCTTGGAATACAACACATTACAGTTCCATTTTTAGTATATATTTTAATTTATCTATTTTGTTGTTGTTTAAGCAATTCTTAACTTCCTACCTGTAAAACAGTGATTGAAAATTTTCTTGTCTTTTTCCAGCTTCCTTTCCCGTATCCCCTTGTTAGGGTCTTTCATAGAGAGATACAAAGCACTATGCAGAAAACAAAAGGGATAATATATAACCACAAATGTTTTAAAACAAAACAGCAACATTGTTGATTAAAAAAATTGGCTTAAATAAAATCACAAAGTTTTTAAGATTCACACTGAAGGCATCTAACGGACTTTGCTAGTTATTATGATAATAGGCTACTGATTTGCCCCAGGTTTCTCAATCCTGTGGACAGCTTAAATTATTATGCCTGAAACAACATGTAGGAATAAATCAACACTTCCAAACAATGGCTTTTTCTAGATCCGTGCTCCCAAGCTAGCATGGCAGTTGAAGTCCACCATCTTAAAGTTGTTGAAGTTGACAAACATTGCTCTAAATAAAATACATTCATAATCTGGTATTGGAACATGATTTGAATGTAATAGAAAAATATTCTTCCAGTAAATAATATTGGGTACTATCTCAAGCAAACCTTCTTGTACCAAGTTTTTCAAACATCTTTTTAAACTTGGGAGAGAAATATGAACTAATTCTACTTTCACGAAGCAACAGACAGCTGGAGATGCTGATCTGTGATGAGAGAGATGTAATAAGAAAAAAAGGGGCACATTCATAGCTACTTCATCTGACTGAAGTTGTCTCAGAAATGCTGCCAAAAGAAGTGTTTAAGCTTCCTGAGAACAAGAATAGGGGAAAAAAAACACCTTTTTTTTCTGAGACCAGAAAATATATAAGATATGCTTTCATTCCAGCTTGTTGATATAGATGAATTAGGAATTTGGATGCCAAGTTTCAGAACAAAATAATTTAAGCAGCTGCTTCTGTAGCTGCCTTATAAAAATAAAGCTTTTGAAATAAAAGTATTTTCCCACATCCCACTTATATAAGCAATGTTTAGTTTTGGAACACACCTCAGATTAATGGTTTCAGGAAGCCTGATAGATTTCTTGGTTGATTTCCTGGAAAACCTTTGTCCTCCCAAAATACATTTGATGGCCTTCTTGATATCTTTCACCCAAGCATCTCTATCCTCAAGATGAGAAGCTTGGAAGATGTGATCCTGTTGTTTGGCCGTTGAGAGTTTAAAGACAAACTGGAATAAGAACAGATGTTATTGTTAGCCTGTGTGAATAGTTGTTGTTGGTTTTTTTTATGTTAGCAAGCAGTGTAGAATTCCCCAGCTAAAGTGTCTAAACAGGCAATATTAAAACAACTGAGAAAAACAATCCTATTTATTGTTAATATAAGAACTTGGTATTGAGAGATGAATGCCTAGTTTCCTTAGCTCAGAGTTAGAAAGAGAAATGGTGATAGAAAAAAGGAAGAGTGCTCAGTTCTGGATCTTTTGACATCCTTCAGTTAAGAAATGGAACAATTCCACAGCACTGTAGATACTGTATGCTCCAATCTCTGCTGAAATAAGGAAAAACCACAATTCCCCTCAATTGTAATAAACATACAGGTATGTTGTCTTTTATCCATTTGCCATTGTATATACCACAGACTGAGACGTGGACCCTACCATGCTTCAAAACGGCAACTCTCTTCAGATGATCCTTAGATTTGACTAAGAAACAGCAGGAACTATAAGCCTTATTCAGTTTATTTACTTCTACAGTATATGGAGTGCACCAAAACATTTTCCCCTTTCTATTTTACTGTATATCTTTTTAAATAAATATCTTCCTGTTATTTGGACAGGAGCTTTCAGGGTCTTCTGATTGTCTCAAGAGAGATTTGGTTTATTGTGTATCCATCCAGACAGAAGTATCTACTTGCAATACCTACAGGGAGAGGGATAGAAAATAAATAATCTATTCCCAGTTTAAAGATTTCACTGACTTTAAAATTCAGAGGAAATATGGATGGAAGCAGCACAGTTCAGTTGTTTCAATCCAGTTCCCACTGGCTGCTACGCAAGGAGAATGGGGAAATGGAAGACTCCTTTTTCTGAAAATATTGCACCTCAAGTGCTTAGCTGAAAAGAGATGAAATACTAAGTAGTAGGCATTCTATGCCAGAGCAAGGCTGTAGTTTGAAATGTGTTAGTAACAAAACCACAGTATTGTAAACACTATTTTCACAGATGACTTGAAAGGAAAAAAAAGGAAATGTGTACAAGGGCTGCACATGAATCCATTTTTACTAATGATTTATTATTTTTTTCTTAAAAGTACAGCAGAGAACATTGTGTTAACACAGTAGTTAGCAGTATATCAGAAATATTGTGGTGACTACTGAGCCAAAGGAAATTGTCTCTAAGATCAGTTGTTTTTCCATTAACTTTGCTTACTTTTTTTTTATATTCTTTTCTTTACATTCATAGGAACAAAAGAAACAGCTGTGCTGGATCCAACCAAAAGACCATTTTGTTCAAAACTCACTGTGACCAACCCAGTATCTATTTGTGATTACTTTTTTGACTCTTTTGTTACTAAATAAAAATTATTATTTGTGATTACTGGTGATGATGTTACCTATGCTGTCAAGGTTTTATTTCTATCAACATTTCCTGCAAATATGAAGTGATGGGGACATGTATGCTGGATGCCAAAACCAAGAGAATGACATGGCCTATAGGATATGTGCAGCCTTCCATCATTTTCTCTTATAGCCACTAGAATCTCAGATTACATCCTAAGGGCAAAAGTTTGGGACTTTAGGGTTGGATGAGGTGGTTCCCCTGTGAATAATTAGGAGCAAAATAATGATCATAAGATTCCACAAGGCTTAAAAGACCAATTCTGCCTTTTAGACCACTCCAACTTCCAAATGCAGATTGCCTTGGAATGATACCTTCAGAATAATTTCATCCCATCCTACTACGGTGATATCATAATATCATTTGGCCCATGAAAGATACATATTTATATACATAAATACACAGGCAATGCACATATAGTCCTTAAATACACATCCACTCATTTCCTTTGAATGCAAAGGGTGTTGCCTACTCTTGGGATAGGCCTTACTTCAGCATGCTTCAGAAAATATAAATACTCACTGTTCGTTTAGCAAAATCCTGGCAGGGACTGGTCAGTGTGCTGTTCTTGAGGGGAATCATTCCTTTAGGATTGTTATCAGTCTTCTTCTTAAAGAATTCAATTCCATCTTCTGACAGCACTACCCACATGGGCTTCCAGGTATTAAACATACTCCCCTGTATCAATCAATTAAGAGAGTATTATCTACACAGCCTAGGATGGCACAAAAAGAAGTTTTTATTGCTATTTAAAGAAAGATTATCAGAATGAATATTCACATTCCAGGAATAGTTTGATATACTCTACACAGTTTGCTTAGCAGCCATTTCCCCACTGAATTTCAGCAGATGATTTCAGAATGCTGGATAGCTACAAATGGGATTGGCTTGTTGTCACACTGGGGAGACTTGAGAAAATGTCCTTTAGTGGGCTCCATGCCCTCTCTTAGGCATTCCACCAGTTTAGAGTCTTCTTTCTGTCACCTTTTTCTTGCTGTACTCTTTGAACACATTCCAGTGTTTCTTCTCTCATAATCAGACAACAGTATTTCTGAATGCTTTTGGAGTTTCCATGTTTTGCATTGAAAATAAGTATAAGACAACATGAGATCGGTTGGGAGCTATTGACAGCAAGACCCATAGCTATGGCCATAGGACATCACTAAACAAGATCTATGAACCTGACATTAGTTGGCCCTACCTTGACTTCCCCAATCTTGATCCTTTGAAATGTATTAAAGCTATGACTCTTAGAATTCCACAGCCAATACATTCAGAGGACACTGGCTTGAGCTTCAAAATCTGTGGGTGGTGGTGTGGGGGAGTGCCTCTACTTTTTCAAAAATAAGGATGTCTTCAAATTAAGCTTGGTCCTTGGAATTGGTTAAGTTGACATGTCAACTGTTTTAAACAAAGAGATGTTATTTGGTTTTGCTTCTATTGGGGTATTGCTTCTGGTTCTTATGCTTGCAATAGAAAAAAATGAAATTTAGAATCTAGTTTGAAGATTTAATAATTGTGTAGTTGTAGAGCTGGCTTGTAATAATTATAGGCAAGGTGAAAAGTTGAGCTTGTAACTGTATTGGTCTTTTAGTGTGTTAGAATGGGAAGTCAACATTTTTCTCTTTTCTCATTTTTTTTTTAAATCCTGCATTCCCCCTTTTTTACTTTATCCTTATTTTCATTATATTTTATAATAAACTTCAATAAAACACATGATTTTTTAAAAAAAGATAAAGCTTGGCCCTACTACATGGACACAACCACGATTTTCTTGGCAATGGAACAGGAAGGGTTTGCCATTTTCTTCTCCCAATCTTTTTTTTTTTTAAGGGTTTTGATAGGCCTTGATCATCTTTGTGAGGGAGTGAAGTTGGGATTGCTGCCTGTGTTTCAGAAAATCAGCTGCAGCAAGGCAGAAACACTTCCCCCACACTTCCCTCAGGCACTGAGACAGGCGCTCATAAATTTACTCACAGGCATCCCAGCCGATGTTGCAGCCGCCTGTGCTAATTGAGCCACACCCTGGTGTTTTGACCGGTCTGACAGCCAGAGGCAACGTCATCCCATCCAGTTTTGAACTTACAAAAACAATTGTTAAGACAGAGTGAAAAAAGGGTGTGTCTAACAGGAAAGGTAAAAGCAAATGGCCTACAGATGAAGAAGCAGAGGTAACATCTGCAGATTAGCAGCTATCAAAGCAGGCAAGAGGACTTTAATTCAAGTGCTACAACTACAAGCTATGCTGAGCACCGTATCCTGGTGGGAATCCGGCCTGGAGTTCAAAGCTTTGCCTGGAGCTCAGCAGCAGTTAGGAGAGGAACAACTACACTGAAAAGCACCTTGTCCCAACTAGTGCAAGAACATTTGGAAAAAGCAAAGATTTTAAGTTACTTTAAAAAAAAAAAATCTTGAGACTTATTTTGAATAGAATATTAACAGATTGATGAGGGCACGATGGCTCAGCAATTAAAGCTGGAAAATTGATAGTCCAGATTTGAGAGCCGAGCTCTGTCCAATGGATGAGTCTCTTGTTACTTGCCTCAGTTTCTGCCCACCTAGCAGTTTTAAAGCATGCAAATGCAAGTAGATAAATAGGTACTACTTCAGTGGGAAGGTAACAGCATGCTGTATGCCAGCCACATGACCACGGCAGTGTCTTCAGACAATGCTGGCTCCCTCGGCTAAGAAACGGAGATGAGCACCAGCCCCTAGAGTGGAACATGACAGAGGAAACCTGTATACTCTATCTCAGGGCTTTTCAAACAGTGGTACGGGTACCACCTGTAGTACATTGGCACCTGGCAGGTGGTATGCCACCATCCTAGAAAAGTGGTAGCGGGGGAGGGGAATGAGCTGAACCAGTGGCAGCACCACACAAGCCTGAGTGATAGGTGGCTGGAGCTGCAGAGCTGTCAGGGCTCAGCGGAAGCGCCAGGATCAGTGCCGCTTTCCAGATGATTGGCGCTTCTTCGGGGCTGTCAGGGCTCAGTGGAAGCACCAGGATCAGCGCCAGGCTCCAGCTGGAGCTCAGCACTGATCTTGGTGCTTCTGCTGAGCCCTGAAGAAGCACCAATCAGCTGGAAAGCAACACTGATCCTGATGCTTTTGCTGAGCCCAGAAGAAGTGCTGATCAGCTGGAATGTTGCAGCATCTCCAGGGTCTTGTGATTTACATTCAGATGCTTGGCAACTGATTCATATTTATGATGGTCACAGTGTCCCAGGGTCATATGAAGTGACCAAAACCTGCTGCAACCACCCAGCAGATGGGGGAATAAAAACCAAACACCCCTCACCCCACCCCCGCTGCCAATCCTCAACAGAAATGCCTCACAACAATGAAAACCTTGGACAGGAGGAAGAGCACCGCAGGCAGGTGTCTTGCTCAGCTATGCCTTGGGGGGACACTTTTTTCAGTACTATTGTAACTTCAAACAGTCACTAAGTGAACTGTTGTAAGTCAAGAACTGCCTGTACTTTATCACTTTTTTCCTTTTTTTTTTTTTTTTTTTTTTTTGGTCATCAAGTTTTTGACACCTTGCTAGGTGACTGGTGGTACTCAGATGTTGCCATATCCTAAAAGTGGTACAATGGGTAAAAAGGTTGAAAAGCTCTGCTCTGTCTGATACCAACCAGGTTTGAGCTTGCATAGCTTCTGAGAACAAGCGCTGCCATTTGCTGTTCCTCAAATTTAGACCCTAGAATAGATGTCAGCCCTCCTGGATAAACCAGATAGGAAACATGACTAAATGAGCTGACTCCACATTTTTATAAAGCTACATTAATAGAATCTTGCAAGTCTGATGGTATAAACTTCCTGTTGCCACTTTTATCTGTCTGCTCCACTAGGACAGGTCCTTCTTAAGTTTCTTCCTCTTACAGTTAAGCACTTGGGGGGGGGGTTCCCCTTTCTCTCATCTGATTGTTTTCCAGGCAGTATCTCTTTCCCTCACCCCTCAAAGTCATTCACATTTTCCATTACACTTACAGGAACTTTTTTAAAAAATATCTCATTAGCTTTTCCTTTCATTAATGTTTTGTTTTGCTTTCACATACAGTAATGCCATTTTTAATTCTGATTCTCCCAGACAGCCAAGGGATTGGGCTGAGAGCTCACTCCCACCTCTCTTTAATTCAGAGGCATTTTAAAAACCAAACAGAAGATTCAGGGAGGATTGGGAAAAATGTGATAGAGGGAACAAGAAACATTGGGAGAGACATTAGCTTAAAATGATCTTTCTGGTATTCAAAGTGAATCAATTAATATGGTTATCTAAGCTATCACAGAAGAAATGGTATGGGACAGGAAATTTAATGTAACAGTATTAAGACAATAATTAAGGTGCAGAGCTGATTATAAAATCAGCTAGTTTGGAGAGGATGAAGGATTACAATCGGTGTCTTAAGTTTTTGCAAAATTTTAAAGTACCTGCTATGTTCTTTAAAAAGCATACTCTTCTCCTTGCAAAATACAAAAAATAAAAATAGAAATCTGAAAAACTCAGTTCCACCTTTACTGGAATGCTCTTGGAGCTGCAAAAGGGGAATTTGTGAAATAGTGTAAACTCAACTGAATACGTTACATGGTAACAAGAATAGTGCCCTTCTAGAAAATTCTGCCATTGCCTAGTATGATCAGAAGAAGAAGACTTACTGATCAGAATAACTGATTTCCTTTGAAAATGTGTGTGTGCACGCGTGTGTGTTGTGTGTGCGTGTGCATGCGTGTGCATGTGTAGTAGCTGAGGAATAATATTTCAAAATGTGAAAAAGACTTAGTTTGTGCCTAAATTCACTATAATCGGGATCTGAATCTGTTTTTAAGTGTTAAAGTCATGAAATATGTGAATAATTATAATTCAGAAAAATAGCCCTGTGCATATATCTAATGCCTTTAGCTCATCCTAGGCTAAACCATCAACAGATGCACAGAAACAGAATTTATAGGAAAATGACTTAATTTCTCCATAGGTCTAAACTTTGATAACAGGCACTTGATAAGAGGTTATGAGCGGCAGCAACAGCATCAAATCAAATCAAATACATTTATTACAGTTTTTAAACAATCTTCATGATAAAAGAATACAGTAAAAGGAAAATAGTTTAATATAGCAATTAATTATTAGGGAAGGGGAAAATAATAATAAGACCAATAAAGCAGCATATCTAATCAAAGGTTTTGCACAATTTTGTAACTTGGCAAAAACATTATGAGGAATAGGGTTAGCATCCCTCAAAAATAATAAATGTAAAATTTATCTGCAGGGGCCTCCTATTTGGAAATTGATTGGGGCAATCAGAACATGTGTTGGGGCACCATAGAAAAAGCACCGTACGAGAACATGGGCAGGAATTTCTACTTTCCTGGAACCACAGAGGCAAAGACACTGAATAAAAGGTCCCATGAAATCTTCCATTCATTAGAGCTGATGGGAGGCCATCAAATCGGGCTCTAGAAAAGGCCCATCTATATTTGCTTAATGTTAAATTCGATAAGTACCCTGCAATAGAGGGCTTGTGACAGTTTAACAATTGGTAATAAGATTCAAGGCCACTGGTAATATCATTTTGGCGCTCAGTGCCCACGATTCTCTTTTACTGCATCATCTGCAGATGAATGCTAGAGCAGAGGTCCCCAACCTTTTGGGCACCAGGGACCGGTGTCGTGGAGAAAGGTTTTTCCACAGACCAGAGGGTGTGTGGTTTTGAATACTGCCTATATCCTGAGGATGGAGCTTTGCTTGTTTGTGCAGCTCGTTTGCTGACATGCTGCGGACCGATGCCGGTCCATGGACTGGGGGTTGGGACCCCTGTGCTAGAGAATGACCATTTCAATTTCCTATAACTCTCCAGAGAGGTGCCTTGTTGGTGACCTTATGGAAAATTTAAATGCAGCTGTCGATTAGTAATCCAACAAACATCAGCTGGCGCTTTAGCAGGTGCATGAGGTTTCTGTTCACTGGTCTTAGGCTGAAGGATTCTTTGAAAGACACTTTATAATTGCTACAAAATCGGCATTCCTCATACAGTATACTTAGCTCACCTTTCTGTCCCTGGGCTGCCCAAGCTTGGTTTCTTCTGCTACCTGAATTAAATCACCAGGTGAGAAATTGCATAGCTGACCATGCAGTTTCTTATTAAAAGTTATTGCATAGATTTCTTAATCCTTCCTTTCCTTGAACTATACTCGGAAAGAGGGCTGAATGCTCTAAACTGGAAATGGTTATTAGAAGATTTATTGTCCAGAAAAATCTTTGCATGAATTTTCACAGGGACTTAAAGATCCCTTACCAACGTAAACATTTATAGAATGTGGATATTATAATCCTTGTTTTAGAAGCAAGTTGATCTAGTTAGGTAAACTAGAGTCCACTGGAGTTGGATAGCCAATAAATTTAAAATAGTAATAAAGGCATAATTACAGCAGACTAGCACTAGGAGTTCTGAAAATAAAGGAGGTTTGCTACCTTGGTGAGCCCCAAAACAGTGAGGAAATTATTTTATTTTTGTGAAGAAGGGGACAGAAAGCATATGCAGGAAGCAGGAAAAGCACTTGGATACTGGTGAATAGGTAAGGAGTAACTGGCTGACAGTCAACTTAACCAGAAAGAATGAGTGATGCCTAGTCTCAATTCATAGCATCTTCATTGTGAAAGACATCTGAAAACAGTCAAAAATGCCTGCTCCAAAATTGTTATTGTTCAGTTATATAATTTACATAGCTTCTTTTGCAAGATCAAGCAGGATCTGTGTTTCCAAAAATACAACAAATTTCAGAATCTCTCACCACATTATGTATAAGGTTTTTCTTGGTGAGTAGCTTGAACCCATGCAACTGTATTGCATTTTCCTTGACAGGCTGAAAAAAATTTAGATAGCCCGAATCCTATAGATTTCACTAACTCATCTGAAACTGGAATCAATTCTTTCCCTGAAACAAAGATCAAAGCTAAGGGAGAAATTCCTGGTACACAAATGGCATTATTTTTATGGGTGCTGGACAGGGAACACTCAAAAATGAAGAAGTAGCATCCATGCCACTTCCCTAAAGTTTTACTTCTCCTTTTCTCATTTCTGTTACAAAGATGTAATTTCCCCAGCTTAAACCACCCCTCAAAACCCCAAATCTTACCACATACTGTATACTGTGCTGGGGAGTTAAGCATGTTACAGCCCGCATGCACAACTGAATAAAGCTTTTCCATAATGCAGTCCTAAACACACTTAACATCTGGTTTCAGCATCCATATGTCTGGAATTGCACTACTGCTCCTTTTCTGGCTGAATTACCATGGCAATGTACTGCACTCTTTATAGCTGCCCTTGAAGGCACTCCATTTCAGCTGAGCCAAATGCAGCAGTTTGAATGAGGGATTGGCAGAATTGTGCCAATTTCAATGAGAACCATTTTTTTTTTCATGCTTGGCTCAATTCATTTTTAGGTTCTTCCCTGCTTCTAAATGAGACCTACAAATGGGATTTTTGCAAACTCTCCCCCCCCCCTTTTTTTTAAAAAAAAGTCAAACCTTTGTATGATTTTTTGTTTTAATCTGCTACTACTGCTGACACAGTTTCTATGATTATGTTTTATGAAGCACTATTTTTAATTTGCTTATAGTTTTATATCCGTGTCTCTTTGTATCCTCAACACTACATCAGTATGGGAAAACAACCCCTCAAGTGGTGTATGTTTAACAATCATCTGAGGATTTTCTCCCATACTGTCACAGCATTAAGGAAGTGAAAGTTTGGGAAGGAAGGTAGGCAGAGAAAACCAAAACATGAAGAAAAAAAAAAATTCCATTTATCACATGGTTTTTTTCCCCCTAAACCTTCACATTTCTAGGAAATGGAGAAAAGGAATGCAAAACAAACCATCAAAAAACAATATTAGGTCAGTGCTTCGGATTCTATTTTTGTCATTGCTCTTATAATTCCTTTAACTGAAATATCTTATCTGTACACCGGAGCCCATATTCCATTTAGTTTGCTTTTGTGGTCTTAGCATTTCCTGACTCTCTCTGGAGCTTTGCTAATTATCTCTCAGGGCTAGGTTCCTGTAAGTCCCAGTGATCCACAAACCACAATTCTATTTTAGCTGAGTGGAGCAATATCTGGTATAAATTTAGCCATTCCGGTTAATTGAATACTATGATTGAACACTATGATTAAGATGTAGATTGGTAGATTAGATGAACACAGCCCTAATTTTCTTCTTTAAATTATCCAACCCATTATTGAAAGCAAGATAACTTAAGTCATGCCACTTCTTGAATGCAACAACAGATAAAAATAATTCTCTACCCACTCTCAGTCCATTGTAAATGTATAAACTCTGCCCAGGTTTTGAACTTGTCTTCTCATCTAAGCCCACTTACCCTCTCTGTGCAGCAATGTTATCCTGGATTGCTACATTCTCTGCTGGTCAGTAGCTGCCATTTGGTTACTAGTGTGTGGTTAGTCAAATGATGGTCCATTAAGTCAATGAATTTCCTCACCCTGTGTTTTCCCACTCACTTTTAGAAGCTCAGCTCTCTTTTCAGTCCTTATATATCTTGCTGGACATCTTTTCAGTTTCTACCCATGTTGGAGATAGTTTGTCTGCATGCTTCCCCATCCTTGCCCACGATACTGCAAAAGTTCCCTTTTCTTCTTTCCCCTAAATCTTTAACCTCCAACGTAAATGTACTAGAAATAACTTTTAGTGAGCTCAACTTTGCTCCAGTTCTTCCACGTTACAGAGTTTCTATGGATCTACAGGGGAAAATAAAAATGAGAAAAAAAACTTGTTTCCCTTTACTTTAATTAGTATCCACATTGCAGCAATGATGGAACCATGAAGGGCAGCGGGGAGAAAGGGACATCTGCATAACATCTTTGCACTAGGGACAAAAAAAACATCAGAAGCTGCCATTACCCAAGGGATAATTTTACTGATAAGCCAAGCCTTTTCTTCTGATAACAGATAAATGTACTGATAACAGAACTCATTTTACATATAGTCCACACCTACCAGGCTGGTGAAAAGAGGCAACGGTTACCAAACATCACAGTAGGGAAAAGAGAAAGTTTAAGCCTTTTGCCCATTAATCACATTCTCTGTAGAAATTCTACCACGCAAATAACACAAATAACGTTAGAAGTGGGGAGTGCTGATCAGAGATGTGGTGTGTTATTTTCCAAAATACTTAAGATAACACAGGAAGAGGCTGACTTTCAAAGTGGCAGCAATTGAGAAGGAAAGCAGTCTTACTAACAGTGAAATCTATTGGTACTGAATAACAGGGAGGGGTGGGCGGAACCTCAAACAGGTTGCTAATCACGTGATAAATTTCATGCCTAACCAGGATTTCAGTTTCTCGCTTTGAAGCCTTAATCAAGAAGAATTCAGTGGCAGGATTTTTACTAACCATGCTTTATTGGCTGCGCCATAAAGAGCTAGATTTTTGCACTACACTAAGCCATATTCTGGTTCACAAGCCAAAATGGTGAACTTTATACAACACAGCAAGCCAAAACCAAACATACCACTTTCAATATTAAGGTAGTTTTTAATCCAGATTTTATGTCAGTCTGAGCACTTACACCTTAAAGTTGTCTTAATATAATATAATATAATATAATATAATATAATATAATATAATATAATATAATATAATATAATATAATATAATATAATTCTTTCTAATTAAATTTTTAATTCTAAAAATTTGAATGTCATGCTTTAAAAGAGAGTTTTCCAGTGTGGCTTATACTGCATTAAATCCCATTATTGCTTAAATAGATAAAAACATTAAATTATTTATTAAAGTACAAGTTATCAGTTAAAATCCCACCACAGACTGGATGATTAGAAAGTTTTGTTGCAGCATACACAGCGTATAGTTTTGGTCATTGGCTAACCTAGAGACTTGGCCATCAAAGCTAATTCTTATTAGGCAAGGAAAATTACATTGTCCCTCTGATGGATTAAATATTAAATGCTCCTTTAGCCTTCTGTAATTCAGTCTCCCTTCATTTTGTATCATTCAGGATCAGGTGAGGATGAGCACAGTAACACCCACAATCTTGGAGAGAAAAAAAAGCCATGCTTGCAGAGATCAGGGAGTGTCAGTATTGAGCTGGTAGGCAACATTCAATCAATCAGCCAGACAAAGGGATGATAATATTAAATCTTGGGAGATTTAATATTTCTGGTGGTACATTTCTCAGGTTTAAAATACTGGCCAAATCGCAGATATCACATTCTCAAAAAAAATAAGTACCAATTTATATTTTTGTCATTCCCTGGTCTTAGTACTGAGAGAAAATGGGTATTATATGCTAACAGATCTGAAGGGTACCAGTCTCTAAAATATTGTAGAGATAAAGCAATGGCAAATCATTTCTGAAAAATCTTGCCAAGAAAACTGGAGGGATTAATCTAGTCAGTCTCCAAGAATCAGACACAATTAAAGAAAAAGTATATTATACATACATATCTCTATATATCTATAGCTATATATTATAATACATGTATGTATAAATACAGACACATACACAGCTGTAACTCCATAAGAACATAATTCCATATAATCCTCACATACCTTCTTCACTAGATAGCCTTCCCTTATCCGTCTGGGTTCTCGTTCAGGTTCTTGTTCCATGTTTGCACTGTTCTTCTTTGATCAAGATTAGTAGAGCTTTGTAAGCTGCATTTATATAGTTGTCACTTTCACAAGTTCCTCTGATTGTTAATCACATGAAAGCATGCTCACTTCCCCTTCCGGAAGAAAGACGTGTAGAAGCCAATGTAAAGCTTAAGAACGTTTTTTTCTTTTTTAAGTACACATAAGTAACATGAACCCGGAGACATGTTTGCACTAAAGGAGAGGACAGCTCAGCAGTTACCAACCTGAGATATTCATTTAGCTTTTCTCAGTGATCAAAAAAACAATTATCATGATAAATAAAGCAAAATAAATGTGGCACTTTGCTCTTGTTGAATCAGATCCAGATGAAGATTATTTAATCCATTATTTAGAGCTCTTATTAATGGGAATGATTTTTATTTCTTCATCTCAGTATCATTTCCCACGTTTTATTTTCTGGAAAAAAATTGGTGCTGCCTTTCTGGAATTTTTTTTTTTATTACAAATGCTTCTGTCTTAAGTTTTCAGAAGGTTGACCATCTTACTTACTTATTCTGTACTCTAGAAAGAGTACAGAGAAAAGCAACGAAGATGATTAGGGGACTGGAGGCTAAAACATATAAGGAACGGTTGCTGGAATTGGGTATGTCTAGTTTAACGAAGAGAAGGACGAGGGGGGACATGATAGCAGTGTTCCAATATCTCAGGGGCTGCCAGAAAGAAGACAGAGTCAAGCTATTTTCCAAAGCGCCTGAAGGCAGAATAAGAAGCAACGGATGGAAACTAATCAAGAAGAGAAGCAACCTAGAACTAAGGAGAAACTTCCTGACAGTGAGAACAATTAACCAGTGGAACAACCTGCCTCCAGAAGTTGTGAGTGCTCCACCACTGGAATTTTTTAAGAAGAGACTGGACAGCCATTTGTCTGAAATGGTATAGGGCTTCCTGCCTGAGCAGGGGGTTGGACTAGATGACCTCCAAGGTCCCTTCCAACTTTTTCATTATTGTTATTACTTTCTTGTTAGCCATTTTAATGTCTGTTTTTAAAGAAATTGGGCTATTGATGTTGCTCTGATTCTAATTTTATTGTTTAAATAACGTTTTGATCATTTGATGTAATCTATTTTGAATGATAGGGATAGACAACAAATTTATCTTTCATTAAAATTCAAAGCACTCAAATGAAAGAGAAACAGAGTGGAAATGTTGTTAATTAATTAAGGATCATGATTAAGGATCTTGACACTGTAACGTAGGAGAGAAGCTTGAAACACCATAAATGCCCAGTATAAATGTTGCCTTCCTTCTCAAACAATCCTCAGGAGAGAAGAAAGCAGCATATACCTAGACGGGTGTTCCTTTCATCCAGATATGATGTTTTCAGATCATGACTATACATTATGAGCAAGAAGCTTTCCTGCTGCTGAACTCAAGTGCTACCTGATCATCTCAGAATTATGCAAGAATGAAATTTGCTGTACCCGTTGTTCATCTGTCTCAACTTACTCTCTTTCAAGAACTTATAGCCCTCTGATTTCCTTCCATGGTAATGAGTGACAAAGCCTTACAGATCTTACTCATATTGAATTCCCTTCTGGGGGATGCTGGAATAGGCAGAGGAAAGGTTCCTGTAATTCAGGGGTGTCAAACTCAATTTCATTGAGGGCCGCATCAGCATTGCGGTTGCCCTTGGGGGGGCAGGTGGGTGTGGCCAGAGTGGGTGCAGCCTACTGGGTGGGCATGGATGGAGTGGGTGTGGCCAGTTCTACATCATTCGCGTCAAGGGTGCCTGTGGGGGCCTGGGCAGGAGTGGGACAGATCTGAGGATCTCTGGCAGAAGGGGGTGGGATCGTGGCAAGTGCTAAGATGGCCACCACAAAATTGTACAGTGGCTCCCGGCTGGCCTGGGCCAGGGCCAAGGCAGCGGGGGCCGTTCTCTCACTGTTTCCAGCATGGCTTCGCGGGCCACATGAAACCACTTCGCGGGCCGCATCTGGCCCCCAGGCCTTGTGTTTGACATGTCTGCTGTAGTTGGTAGCATTACAGCTAAGGATACCTTAAAGCTTTGCCAGAAATATAGCCAGACAAAAAAGAACGGCCCGTTTTTGTTGTGCTTTTGTGCAAATGGAGAAAGGCCCCTAGGTTTGGACCTCTTCATGAACTGCTTCTGTTGAAGGAACGGGCAAGAGATCAATTCTGTCCATTCTTCCTTTCCCCCCATAGCTCTTTTTATTCCTGAAGACCTGTAAGGTATCAAATTATGTGTATGGGGGGGATGAAGAAAGATTGCTTGTCTCCCAATCCTTTTGCAAGACCTGTTTCTATATTTCAAATCTTTCTGCGAATGGAGGGAAACACCATTTGGGAAAAAAACATCCTGGAATGAATCCTATGGAAAAATAATGAAACAGTTCCAGTCTGAAGAAAGTTGTCAGTCCAGTATTAGAGAAGTGTACGTACATAATCTATATCTTCGTCTTCTTGTGCCATATCTGTTATCGGGCGTTGGCAATCATGTTGGCGATCCTGTTTCTACCAGCAGCTGCATGAAAAAGTGCTGCTGAGTTTTGTCCAAACCAGTCCCTTAGATTTTGAAGCCACAATGTTCTTCTTCTGCCTGGACCTTGTTTGCCTTCAATCTTTCCCTGGAGGATTAAATGGCGTATGCCGTATTTTTCTGGGTGTTACATCACATGTCCGAAATATTCTAATTTTCATTTTTTAATTGTTTTGGTGATTCCCCTTGGCTTTCCCAGGCAGCTTATCACCTCATTTCTGATCTTGTCAACCCAGCTTATACGTAACAGCCGCCTGTAAATCCACATTTCAAATGCCTCTAGTCTCTTCAGGTGGCCTTCTGTCAGAGACCTATATAATCTATATAAGATTCTCAATTGAGGAGAATGCACTAAGTCTAAAAAAGTATTCCCATTCTCCCTGAAAGAAAATATGAGAATAAGGATAAACATTTGCTTTTAGAAAAAAAAAATATTATCATAATAAAAGAAGGGTGTAGAAGAAAGAGATTGGAAAGCCCACAATATATATGAAAACTCTTCTGTTAGTCTACAAAACAAAATAAATGGCTAGAAATGCTAAAGATTTATAATTCTATGCTTAGGGGTCAGTGCTTACATTAATAACAAAAGCGCCCTCTTCTGGTTCTGAAAATAAGATTTTGTTTTACATAATGTAGCCTCCTCAAAGCAATGGGAGCTAAATTCTCTGTAAGAAAAATGGTTAAAGCTACAGTTTTAGGGAGATAAACCCTAACCACGAAATAATGTGTAAATTTCATATTCTCCAGAACTGTTCTTCAGCCTAGATGATACACAAAGCCAACAGAGATGGGATTGGGTAAGGATTTGGATGGTGCTGAGCCCTATGAGGTTTTCTCATTTGTCTCTTATTTTGTCTGCTATATAACTTGATCTAACACAGAGCTCTGGAGAAACCAAAACTTCGCATAGCATTTTTTGCAACTTGATAATATAATAGCAAAGATTGATTGCTATCTCTCTCTCTCTCTCTCTCTCTCTCTCTCTGTGTGTGTGTGTGTGTTTGTATGTATGTGTGTGTGTGTGTGTGTGTGTGTGTGTGTGTGTACACCTCTGTAACCATTACCAGTTCTTACTATTTTACTTTTAATCAAATGGGATATAGCTTTTTCAGCCACAAAAACAGGAAGTCACCCTATTCTCCAAAGCGCCAGAAGGTAGGACAAGAAGCAATGGATGGAAATTAAACAAGGAGAGAAGCAACCTAGAATTAAGGAAAAATCTCCTGATGGTGAGAACAGTGGAATGACTTGCCTCCAGAAGTTGTGAATGCTCCAAAACTGAAGGTTTTCTGCCTGAGCAGGGGGTTGGACTAGATGACCTCCAAGGTCCCTTCCAAATCTATTATTCTGTTATTCTGCCCAACTCTCAGTTTGTAGAAATGTGTATATTATTATCTTTAATGTCGTCCACCAGGCAGTACATATCCTCTGTAATCTCTTCTGTTGATCCATCCAGATATATTTAGCCTTGGGAAAAATGGTTGAGGAATGCCATGGGAACTCTTCAAATCTCTGAAAGGGCATCACACAGAATAAATTTAAGATCTGTCCTATCTCATTCCAGAGTGCAGGATACGGACTAATGGACTTCAGCTATAGGAAGACAAATTCCAAATATATATATTAGAGAACATTTTTCTAAAAGTTAGAACAATTTGGCAGTAGAATCAATTTGCCTGAGACATATTCAAGTAAAGCTCAATAGCCTTTCATAAGGAATCCTTTACTTGGGATTCCTGCATTAATTGGGGCATTTATTTATTTATTTATTTAAATTTATTATTTATTAATATTTATTATGACCATCAAGAAGCTCCTGGGTGGCTCAATGGCTCAAACAGCTCCTTCCAATTCCTTCCATCTTGGTGGCTTAAATAGCTCTTTTCAACTCTATGTTTTTATGTTTAAGCATCTCTGGACCTAGATGTACAATAAGCTGTACATAATGTATAAATTTCCACCTGAACTATAAGAGTCTTCCAACTCAGCTGTGTTTTGGTCTTGTTTCTCAGGAGAGTACCTCAACAGTGTTCTTCACAAAAGTCAATGCATTCTAGTACAAGTATTCTGTTATAATCTCCAACAACTGAGATGAATGAGCCAAAACAGGCTTGGACTCTGACTGGGTCCCAGTCTTGTGGTGCTATCTGGGATGTTTGAAGCTGTGACTCCTCAGGAAGTGGACAGGGTATTCTGCGTTGTCAGTTTGGCACCTGTTTATTGGAATTTGTCTACTCCTGGATTGTGAAGGTAGACAGGGAGGTGACCTGTGATTGGGTCCATATTGTAGTGTCCGCTTCTTTGAGGGATGGTATGTTTTCTGCCTTGAAGGAAGCAGTGGTGCAGTCCCTCCTCAACAGGCTGTCCCTGGATCCAATACTTTTAAATAGATATTGTCATATCTCCAACCTCTTTCGGAAAGGATATTGAGAAAGTGATCAAACTCCAAGTGATGAGAACATACAAAGCATCGTTCACTTCACCTGGAACAGAAATATATAGCTGGGTGGAATCTGAATATTTATTTATACCAATATTTGAGGGGCTGTCACAAGGAAGACAGGTCAACCTATTTTCCAAAGCACCCAAAGGCAGGACAAGAAGGAATGGATAGAAACTAATCAAGAAGAGAAGCAACCTAGAACTAAGGAGAAATTTCCTGACAATTAGAACAATTAATCAATGGAACAACCTGCCTCCAGAAACTGTGAATGCTCCAACACTGGAAGTTTTTAAGAAGAGATTGGACAGCCATTTGTCTGAAATGGTATAGGGTCTCCTGCTTGTGCAGAAGGTTGAACTAGAAGACCTCCAAGGTCTCTTTCAACTCTGTTCTTCTGTCATTTTATTTTTTTAATTTACTAAATTTGTTTGCCACCCATCTTGCCTCAAGGTGACTCTGGGCAGCTTACAGCATTATTGATGATACTTCCCCCATGGTGATGATTAACAGTTCCATGTAGATCTTAAAAACAAATGAGAAAGCACCAAGCCTTGTGTCACCCCGCAAAGCAGAGACTGTCAGCTGTCAACACTGATTGGACTGGCTTCAAAGAAAGAAAGGATGTAAATCAGCACAGTATGATGTCACCCAACCCCAACTCCTTAAGTTGGCCCAAAAAGATACCATGCTTGATGGTACTGAAAGCTACTGAGATGTCAAGAAGAGCAAAGATGGATGCACCAGCTGCATCCCATTCCAGCCAGGGGTTATTCATGAGCACGACCAATGCTGTTTCTGTATCAGTTTCTGTTTTTATGTCTAGACCTGAAACCTGACTTAAAAGAGTTGATTGTTCCAGGACGCTTCAATTGAACAATGTCATTTATGTGCATATTAAGCATGTCTCAGTTCATATATATAACTTCCAAGATTACATGGCTAAAAATACATAGTAAGGCATTAAAAACAATTACTTTACACTTCTATAAAAATCAAGATATATGTATATGTAGCATATCAGGCAGCAAGGGAGCTCCAGTATTTTCAGTATGTCAGCATCTTCCCATGTTAAGTTTAAAGTCTTCTTTGACATGTATTTCAAGAGCATCCTCTTGATCATTTGGCACTAGGTGGGATCCATCTCATTGCCATCTTGGGAATTTGATTATTCTCCATATGGAGTATATGACCTGCAAATTGGAGTCTTCTGCATGTGACTATGTTATCTAATTTTCAGGAGACACTTTTTTGGAGCACTTTTTTGTTAGTAACACGATCAAAATATGAATCTTTAGAATTTGACAAAGGCATCTTCATTGGAAGACGTCGAGTCTCTTGTATGTTACATATAATAAAGTATAAATAAGTAATAGCTATCCCAAAATTGGGGGGCTCTTTCTCCTAACTTCTAGGCATTGTTGGACCTTGATTTTTATAGAAGTGTAAATGTGATTATTTTTAATGCCTTACTATGTATTTTTAGTCATGTAATCTTGGAAATTCCAGGGACTGCAAAGGAGGAAACAAATATAACTAGAATTGCAAGCTGCCTACTTTGGTTTAGAAATAACTAGCTCGTAAGTTTAACTCTCTACAAGTATGTTGTACAAAATGACATGGATCTGACCAAAATTTTAGTGACTATAACCATACAATACTATACATACGTTCTACCATATTCATTATTAAGGAGTGCAGCTGTATCCTTCCCACTGTGCAGCACAACTAGCCAAGATTATTAATAAATTCTTGTTTCTCAAGGATTAGTATCAATCATTTGTTTTGTCATCAAAAAGCAATTCGAATAATACATACCAAATAATAAACCTAATGAAGTTTGACCAATCTTGTGTGTTCAATGACATCAGCAAAACTACATATTTCCAATACTAATCAAGCAAACTGAAAAAAGCTGAAAGGAATAATGACATATTTGTTTATGTGCCTTCAAGGTTTATGTTTCATATGTAAAATGCTAAACACATTTTGATTTTTCCCCCTCTAAACGTCAAAACATTCCTTGTCCAGACACCAAGAGGCATATCATTCAAACAACAATCACATATTTTATATTTTTACATGTGACCATTTATGGAAAAATATTATTTTACATTTTTAATTTTGATCAGTGATATTTAAAAGGCATATATAAATCTGGAAGAGAATGCAGATATTAATGTATCAGTGAATAATTTATTGCAGAATTACCAATGTGGATTCTGCATTTATAAAGGTATAAAGTGTGGGTATACACACATTCATTTCATTAACTATTACAAAGTGTTTTGCTACTAAGTTGAGCAAAACATGCAGCTTAATGACATCATTGCTATTTTCTCATACATTTGTTTTCCAATTATGTTTTACCAGATTATACAAATTTAGCCATTTAACCTTATATACAGTTTCTCATGTTATCCAGACATTCAGAACTGAAGATTTTCTTTCACTTATAAGTAACTGTAATGGAATCCCTTGTTGCACACATTAATTGTATAAAGGCTTAAAATAGCAGTTTTTAAGCATTTTTTTAAAAAAACCCTGACACAACCCCCCCCTCCCCTTTACAAAGCTGAAGCTAACAGGACTTTGGATGTATTAACATTATCTGAATGTTTTACCAATGCATTAATTTGAGTAACCTTTTGAAAGTAGAAGGCAAATATCGTGGTAACTATCCACACCTGTGGTGCTGAAAGTACATTTCAAAAGTACATTTGTCAAAAAAGTTACCTTGTGGTAAGATGGGCAGCCAATAAATTTTATAAATAAATAAAAAACGAGACCAATGATTTGATTTTCTGACATAGTGCAGCTCATCTAGGTCATAACTTAGCTTTTTGTTAAATATTACAAGTGAATACTAGCAAAGCAAATATAGTTGCCTAATTTTTACAAAGATCATCAGTCCTGTCTAGTTCACCATGCAATAAAAGTATATTTTTCTTGCTAGCTCCTGCATTTTTCACTAAGTATTTTGTTAATTATTAACTTCACTTGTTAACCATGACTAATCTAATGATATGTATATTTACTCTGTTATTACGACACTACAAGATCTCCTAAGCAACTCATGCAGTGTCATAATAACAGAGTAAATAGAAACATTATTCCAATTTTCTTTGTGTTTGCCTAATTCCTCTGCACAAATAAGTTACTTCTAAGCAGGTTTATTCACCTATTTGCCCATAAAATCAAGTTTCCTGATACTTTTATACCTTTATATTCCTTTTTACTCACTATTTTTTTGAAGTCAAAATATAAACAGAAACAATCAGTAACAGATGCTATGGTTTGACTTTTGAATATATAATGAACTTAGTTAAAAAAGAATATTGGGAAACCCATCAAGTGAAGCCATATTTAAAGCAGGACCTCCCCCATTCTGCAACATATATAACATTATGTATCTATTCACCATCACCGTTCTTTTCATGATTGAAATAGTTGCAAAATCAGTTGCAATCAGACCCAGGTGAAAACAACGCTAGGAAGTTCACTTGATTTGGGTTTCAACATCAAAAAGGCATTAGATATAAATGGTTGGTTTTTTTCTTAAACATATTCAAATTATATTTCAATTTTAAATATATTGTATAGTATTATTACCACTAGTAAGAAATCAAAAGGAAACAGCCTAGTTCTCTCTTGTTTTCTCAGAGGAGCTGACTAGACTAACAGAATAATCGATTAAGTGGGAAATGTACATTTATAATGGACAATTTTTATAAGTGTGGATTGCACAATTCTATATGAATGTAACCTTACCTTAAAGAACTTGCTCCTCTTTCTTTCTCACCAAGTATCCATACACTTTTCTTATACTGCAATGTAATTCACTCCATACTGATTTTGTCTGAATCTTGAAACCATAAATATTGCAGCATCTTTTACATACTCTGCAGAGGAGAATCTTGTAGCTGGCAGGCCACTAATCAACCTTGGACTGTTTTGGTTAACACTTTGATGGATGAGAGACAATCAGGAAATCAAAGAAAGCAATTAAAAGCCATGTCTACATGGTTACTGAGAAAACAACATGCTCTCCAGGAGATGAGTTCAATTCAAATTGGGTTTCCAATCATGCAGTTGGCGTTTTCTCCAAAACTTCCACTGACATCATTGAAATATAACTTTTCCCAAGTTGTATTGCTTTGGAAAGAATCTCTCTCTCTCTCTCTCTCTCTCTCTCTCTCTCTCTCTCTCTCCCTCCTTCCCTCCATCCCTCCCTCCCTCCCTCCTTCCCTCTCCCTCTCTCCCTGCTGCCCCCTCCCCCTCCCACCCCATAGAAAGTAATTTGGTTGAGAAAGCTATGGGAGGTTTTAGTGTGTGCACCAAGGATATGAAAGACTATCCATTCTCATTCACTGAAAGCATGTGAACCAAGAAGCTTATTCATTAAATATAGCCCTCCAGTTGAAAAGCTTTTCCCCATTTTGTTTGTCTGTTTGTCTATCTGTCTGTCTGTCTGTCTGTCTATTTATCTATTGTAGATAACATCCATCTCACTCTCAGACTGGTTCTAGCTGGTGTACAGTTAACAGCATTGAAACATAAAAATCATATAAAAATGCAATACATTAATAAAAGGAGCCAGATAAAAACCAAGAATAGGTTGGACTAGAAGACCTCAGAGGTCCCTTCCAGCCGTATGATTCTAAGTCAAAAGTTAAAAGGGAGGAAAGGGGGCTTCAGGGAGCTAACCACTACCAGGATTGTGTGCCGCTCCGCAAGCCCCATGCGAGTTGGCAGAACCAGGTCTTCAAATTCTTTTGAAAAGCCAGGAGAATGACGGCCCACTTAACCTTTGAGGGGAGGATACTGTATTCCAGTGGGCAGGGGCAACAGCAGAGGAGGTTCTCTTCCTTGACCCTGCCAGTTGAAATTCTTTAATTGAGTCTGTAATGTATCTTCCCTGCCTGACCGGGTGGGATGAGGTGATGTGATAGAGCAGTGTTTCCCAAACTTGACAATTTTAAGGCATGTGGACTTCAACTCCCAGAATTCCACAGCCAGCAATGCTGGCTGTGGAATTCTGGGAGTTGAAGTCCACATGCCTTAAAATTGTCAAGGTTGAGAAACACTGAAAATTCTTTCTGACAAACTGCTCCTACTTTTTTCTTCACTCTCTTGTTCACCTTCTTTGAGTAGCTGAACAGAGAGGACAGAGCCCTGGGGGAGCTTTCCAGAAAAACATACGCTCCGTACCTGCTCATTTGCCTTTTTTTCCCATTTTGACTTTGTCCAGTGCAGAAGCAGTTTGAATCTCGCTCCCTTTTCATCATCCTTGGCCATCCAGCACCAGCAGCCTCCCCTATAGGTTCCCTTGGAGAAGGCCAGTTGGGAGCCACAGCCACAAACACCCCTAAGGCAGGGGGTCTTCAAACTTGGCCCTTTTATGACTTGTGGACTTCAACTCCCAAAATTCCTCAGCCAGGCACGCTGGCTGAAGAATTCTGGGAGTTGAAGTCCACAAGTCATAAAAGGGCCACGTTTGAAGACCCCTGCCCTAAGGCATCTTGCAGGGCGCCAGATTGAAGAAGGCTGGTGATGATGGAAAACATACCATCTTATTAGAAATTGTAGAAAATATTCGAAGCTCGGGTTGTAGATTTGGGCAGATCCTTGTCGTCGGAGCTTAATGCTCGGCTCCCAGACGTTTTGTTACCAAACTAAGGTAACATCTTCAGCAGGGTTTTTGGGGTGACGTGAACAGACCACCCCTGGACCTATTTAAACGAACAAGACACTTCACTCAAAAATCCGGCTGAAGATGTTACCTAGTTCGGTAACGAAACGTCCAGGACCCAACCAGCAAGCTCGGAGGACAAAACTCTCTGCCCATGCCATCTTATATTTTGCATATTCTTCCAGAGCGCCAGAAGGTCAGGGCTCAGCAAGCTCAACCCTGCTTCCCCATCATCTAGCAGCGAGGGAGGAGACGGTGTCGAGAAACAAAAGCATACTCTTCCCCCCCCCCGCCGCCTTCATTTGCAGGACCAGCCCAATGCAGTGCAAAAAGCAAAGGATCTAAACGAGCAGAGGGCCGCCCAGCTTCGCTTCTTCTAGGCAGGGGCTACCCCCGGTCACCTTCGACCTCAGCGGACGCAGCGAGCGGATTATAAACCACGGCGACGGGCCAGGCGGCTGAAGCTCTTTCTTCCACCGAGTCAATTCGAATCAAGGCTCCCCGCCCGCGGGCGCGCCTCTTTTTTCTTTTTTCTTCTTTTTCCCAGCTGATTTTTCCGCCCACTTGATCCCGCGCTCCAGCTGTTCGGGTTTGAGCCCCTCCCTCAGTCACCCCGCGGATTGGGCGAGCGCAGGAAGCAGAGGCCGAACCGGATTCGCTTTCGCGGCTAGAAACCCGGCCAGGCACAGATGGGCCCGGTTTGCTCGATTCCGGATTGGAGCGGGTGCTTAACGGGCCGCGATCGTCATTTGGCGGGGGGCTGAGCGCGGCCCCTCCTCTTTTCTGAGTTCCTCCAGCCGCGCCGCCAGCACCATGGCCGAGGTGCCCCCCGTGGTCCGGATCAAGGTCTCCCTCAAGATCCAGCCCAACGACGGCCCCGTCTACTTCAAGGTGGATGGCCAGAGGTTCGGCCAGAATCGCACCATCAAATTGCTGACCGGGGCCAAATACAAGGTCGAGGTGGCCCTGAAGCCGGGCACCGTCCACGCCACGTAAGTTGCGCATCCTTCCTCGCCTGCCCCGCGGGAGCCGCTTCGCTGCCTCGTGATCCGCCCGCCTTGATTTCTTAAGAGCGCCGAGATTTATTCCCGGCCACCGAGATGGACAGGCGCTTCCATTTTCCCTCGGTGGAAATTGCAGCTTCGGTTAGTTAGCCGGTTTCAGAGAATGCCTCGCTCCCTTCTCCCCCACCCCACCCCCCCGCCCGGCCATTCACGAAACAGCCCGGCAAGCAGCCGTAGTGCGGGAGATCGAACACGCCCATCCAGGCTCCCAGCTTCTCAGAAAGCGATAAGGCTCGGAGGAACGCCCTAGTCGCCGTCCTGCTTATGTGTGATACCATATAATAGCATAGGCGAGGAGGGAAAGGCAAGGGGACCGAGGCCTAGTTTGCAGTTACCCGAGAGGGCTTTAGGCCGGGGACGAGAAAATAAGAGCCCGCTGCAAGAAACCGCCCAGCAGAACGGTGGCAATCCGGAGCGAATGCGGGCAAGCCGGCTAATTGGCGAAAGCTTGCCAACTCTGGTTATATAACGGCTCACCCAGCCTCTTCTCTGGTGTGTGCGACTTTACGTTGGGGACGTCACCAAGTTTCAATCCGTAGCCCAATTCTATTATTTTAAAGGAAGCGGCGGTCGCCCTGTAGTATCTTTTCAGCCTCTTGAGATCAGTAAGTTTATGGCTTTTATTAAAAAGATAGATCATATATCTATACTAGAGTTTGGAATAGGGTAAAAGTGGCCCAGTTTCCCAAGGCTCCTGTTTAGGAGCATGGGGGGGGGGAGTGAGGGAGGGGTGTCCTCCAGGTGTTTTAGCTAAAAATCCCCATGTTCCTTTGCAACGATGGTCGTGCTGGGAAAGGCTGCTGTTTGGCGGTCACAAGGTTGCTTGCCTATTCTAGGTGAAGAGAAGTGCAATAGTAAAGGGAGGTAGCCTGGAAGAGTACGCTTGCTTTACATGCAGAATGTTTCCAGGTAAAGCTAGGAAAAATTGGGACCTGGGATCTGAGCACAGGGGGCATCTTGCTTTGTAATAATAGGGCAGTGCACAATCATTTGATATAAATGATTCAGTGCCAATTCAGGCAACTTCTGTCTTCAAATAAAATCTTCAGATTGAATTGCTGAATTGCTTTGATGTATTGGATCAGATTGGATGCTTTTAGCCTATAATTTAGCAATTTGATGGACAGCTGTGCACATGCTTCCTCTTTATTGAATCTTTATTTAAAGGGTTGGAGCTGGGTGATTCACAGCCTCCTAATTAAGCTATGTAAGAGTTTGGCTGTATCTTGCATTTCTCTGCTTTTTGAGCAATCAACGTCCAATATTTCTAAGCCTTCACAATCTTCTTTGAGCATCCTATCCTCCTTATTTCAGTTGACTTAATTTAGATTAATGTTCTTTTAAATGATCGTGGAATCAACATTACGGATTTTAGTCAAGAAAGACAACTTTTAAAGCATTGTTTTTCCTTCCTGCCCCCTCTTTCCAAGGCAGTAAGTTTTCCACGTTTCCTCAATATTTCATTTTGAGTGACAGATTATTTAAGAGGTTATTCACCATCAGTTTAACTGATTATGTGCCATAAGTAATTTTTGATTCCTAGTGTCTATACTCATAGATTTTTTCCCTGATGATCTATTCCTAACCTGGTATTATGACTTCCAATGGTAGAAGAGGCTGGAGGCAGATGATCACTTTAGTGCAATGGTTCTCAACCTGTGGGTCGGGACCCCATTTGGGGTTGAACAACCATTTCACGGGGGTCGCCAAACAACGCAGTCCGCCATTTTTTTCCCCTTTTCCTTAGCTGTGCTACTCCCTTTTATTCTATTGGCTTTTGAAAGCCAATAGAATAGACTCTTTTGAATAGAGTTTAATTCTATTGGCTTTCAAAAGCCAATAGGAATTGTCCAGACTGTCTCTGCCCTGCTGAGCCTGCCAAAAGTCCCATTCTGCAAACGGTGCTGCACCAGTTGAGTAGTCCTTGACTTACGACCGGTTGAGTAATCCTCGACTTACGACCGGTTGGGGGGGTTGCGACATTAAAAAGGTTGAGAACCACTGCTTTAGTGACAGTGGTAGAAGAGGCTGGAGGCAGATTAACACTTTAGTGACAGTAGCAAAGGCATCAATCCATATTGTGTGGGAAAAGGCAGTGGATAGACCACAGGGATAGAAAACCATTATTACAGTTCAGATTTTTTTCTCTCATCTCACAACAATGGGATCATTAAGTGCTATCATGTGTTAAGATTACCAACTTCTGTTTCAGGACAATGGGAATAGGTGGAGTAGATGTGCCCCTTGAAGAGACAGCAAGAGAACCACAACTTGTTACTTACACTGGCATCTATGACACAGAAGGAGTTCCTCACACCAAAAGTGGGGAAAGACAACCTATACAAGTAAACCTTCAGGTAGTGTATATCTCTGAGAGGAGGAGGAGGCTGGAAAAATAAATGAAGTTAGTAAAAAAAAAAAAAGGGTGAACACAGTAATCTCCATGATACGTGAAATAGTTTGATCAAATTCATTTTTAAAATGAGCTGCGTTTGGGTTGCGTACACCATTTCAGATTTTTATATTTGTCTTTTTCTTACTTCCAAAAGAAGCAAACTAATTTTGTGGTCAGCTGTTACAGAAAGGAAACAACCACAATGCAGTTTGCTTCCTGACCCTAAGATTGTTCTGACTCTCACTTGCTAGTTGAAAGAACAAGGTTGCTCCCCAGAATGCACAACCTTTATTTATCGGAGATGATGTCCTTTCTGATTTCTTCTGACTATGAACTTTAACTTTTTAAGCATTTGTGGAGCTTGCAGCTATAGCTGTAACTCACCTTTACTTTGCCAAGCCCGTAACCTCAAAGTATGTCATTTATTGGAATCTCAGGTTTGATAGGTATTCTTAGAAGGGGGGGAGCTGCAGGACTGTGTTTGGGAGAATGCTGGTGAGCTCAGCAAAAAAGGGGAGCTAGGGAGGACAGCAGAATGGATGGCCAGAAATGGTCTGGAATAACCTTTCCCAACTTACCTTCCTGGTAAATTGATGGGTTTTTGCCTATTTTATTATTTGTCAGAGTGCCCATAAGATGCTCATCTATACCTAACATCCAAAATAATTAGTAATTCTTTCTTTGTTATTACATCATCTTCATCAAAGTGTATGACAGGAGTGGGCAACCTGTGGTTCTAGAGTCACATGTATCCCCCCACCACCTCCTGCTTTTGAAATCTCTAGCAATGATTTCTGAAAAGACGTAGTTGCCATTTTGAATTCACGAATATATGAAAACACTAAGCAAGGGGTGTCAAACTGCTGGCCCACGGGCCGGATGCATCATAGCGAAACCACACCCACCCCATTGCTGGCAATGGCAAAAAAGTCACGATACATCGCGACACATGTGATGTTACGAGTTTGACACCCCTGCTCTAAGTTAAAAAAAAACAAAACCCCTCCTAAATCCCAGATTGGCTTGTGTGCATGATGTGATACCTCCCCCCCTCCAAATTTGGGAATCCTTAAAAATATTAAATGTGTTTCAATGTGTTAACGGGTGGAAACTAATCAAGGAGAGAAGCAACCTAGAACTAAGGAGAAACTTCCTGACAGTGAGAACAATTAATCAGTGGAATAGCCTGCCTCCAGAAGCAGTAAATGCTCCAACACTGGAAGTTTTTAAGAAGAGACTGGACAGCCATTTGTCCGAAATGGTGTAGGGTTTCCTGCCCGAGCAGGGGGTTGGACTAGATGACCTCCAAGGTCCCTTCCAACTTTACTACTATTACTAATGTATTCTTAGAGTTATCTTAAGTGTAAAATGCTTTTTAAGAATTTTAAAATATCAGAACGTATACTAATAGTTATGTAAACAGAAGATGACCTCCAAGGTCGCTTCCAACTTTGCTACTATTACTATTACTATTATTGACCTGCTTCCAAAACATAATCAATATGTCTTGCTCTCAAAAGGTTGTCTACGGTAATTTTAAGCAATAAACCTAACTTTCAAAAGTTCTAAAACCATTGCTAGAGATCAGTGTGTTTCACATGGGAATCTGATGCTTAGCTCTTCATAAGATCTCCACACGGGTGTAGCGGAAGAGATAATTATATTAACTTCGGTGGTACAAGGTTATTCTTCTCTCACTAAGCTTAAGTGGTCAATAATATCTTTGCCATGTCATCTGCTAAAATCTACCTGTGGTTTGGCTCTTTCTACTCTTTTGACACATTCTTGAAAGCTATGACTCTGCAAATGGAAAGCATACCTAATGCCAGCAGTGCATTTTCAAAAGCATGAGGTTCCAGGATAAAGATGGAAATTGATTCCAGATAGAAGCTACATTTGATTTGGTCAAATTAAAATTCAAACTTAAGACAATATACACAAAGTACAGCTGATATGATTATTCTATATATTTAAGAGCTTTTCCCTTTGACTAAATGAATCATTACAATTTAAAAACAATACTAAAGGTCCCTTTGATGCCACATCTTGGATTTTGGGGCCCAAAATACGTTGTATCGCTTGCACTTTATTAAGTAATATTAAGCAAATATTCGTATGTGATATATGAGACATAGAAGCTTCTGATTCTGAGTAGACTCGGAAGTCATTATGGAAAGGAGTTTTATAATGAATCACTCCACTGGAAAAGTTGAAGTACATACAGAGGAGCAAAAGACAGTCCATGACCATTGGGCTGAAACTCTGACAAAGATTATCTGTCATCAGCAACGTGACCAAATGCTTTTTGCAGTTGGGTTGGGTTCTTTTCAAAATCTCTGACTTCCAATATATTTGGACAATCACGCTTTATGGCAGGAGCGGGAAATAGTGTGGCCTTCTGTCCCAGCAGTGGGATAGATGCAACCTGTTACCCATCATAGCTTGTTTTCCTTTTGGTCCATGCACTATTGGATTCCCCACCTTTTCTCCGTCTTTGCCCATTTCTTGCCATATTTGCCTTTGTTGAACCTCTCTCTCATCTCTTATATATTACATTTCCCAACTATTATCTGTTTTTGCCCCACACTTTCCTTCACTGCTTTTTTTTCTTTATGTACCATTCCTTGTGTGGTTTCTCTCTTTTTTCTACTTTCTCTGCACTCCTTTTCTCAGCTCCCCTCTTCATGAGGTAAATAGAATGATCCCTCACTCCAAATTTTTGGGAAGAGGAGAGGAACAAGTTTGATATAGGACGAAATGAGTTAGCAAAGATCACCTCAGAGAAATGTTGCTCTGAATAAAACTTCTGCTGATGGACAGATCTCTTGCAAATCTAGATCCAAACTATAACATTCATTGGAGGTTATGCTACAATTTGAAGCAGATTTATTAGGAAGTAAAACACTTTGCCTCTTCCCAGATATGAACCAACTGCAACCATACGTATCTATTTTGAGAGAGGGGGCTTTGCTCCTAAAAAGCTTTATTCCTTGCTATGCAAAATGCTGTGGGTTTTGTGACCTCTTGTGTGGATTGGTTGGTCAGGTCAATATATAAAGAGGAAACACTGCTCTAGTGAAACAGTGAAATGAGTTTGTACTTTCTCTTCAGGTCACTGACCTTGGCGCTTTTGAAACAGTCTGGCAAGTCAAATTCTACAACTATCACAAGCGAGACCACTGCCAGTGGGGAAACAGCTTTGGCTGCATCGAGTATGAATGCAAACCCAATGAGACACGCAGCCTCATGTGGATCAATAAGGAGACCTTCTTCTGAAGTGAGGCCACTGTGTCTGGACAATTGTTTGGTAAAATAACTGATCTTCAAACCAGTGCAAAGCCTTACTCAGGCCCTCCGTATAGATGTTTCTTTTTGTGCAATAAAGCGGAATCTTCCCTTTCCCCACCTCACAACACATTTGCTCCCAAATGAGTAGGTTTGCAATGAAGAAATGAGTGTTGCTGGGAGATGATTCCTGCTCCCTCCCTAAATGTGAACTGCCCCTCACTTGCACTGGAGTGAATGGGCAAAAAGTGACATTGCAATACTCACTAGGCTCTAGAAGCTCCTTTTCCATAATCATCCTGAGATGTACTGTTTGTGACGCCCCCAAATCATTGTTTTAGAATGTTATCTGCTACATGGTAATAACAGTTTCTCTATTTTTGTGTTCAGTCTGGTTCTCATTCATGCTAGCAAGTGTCGTAAAATGCAGCTTCATTCTGCCACTGAGCTCTGAAATTCAGGATACTTTCTACTAATGCTTTTCCAGAACTGAAGAAGCCCTCAGTTACTGGACTATGACCCCCAGCGTAGTCCATGCTGGTTGGGTTTTCTGGTTGTTCGAACCCTCCAATCTCTGAAAAACCATAGATTCTTCTGGTACAGATTACAGTGCACAGTGCTAATTTCAAGTGACAGGGCATCTGATAAGGTAGCAAATTAATATCTGCTCAAATTTTTGACTTAGTTTTCACAGTGAAGGAGTAGGATTGCTGAATATTACATAACCTGAGTAGGTTTTCACCTATCAAACCATAAGCAGCGATGGGATTCCTGAAACGATGCAAAACATCAATAGTTTTAAATTCTTTGTGTCATATTTCTCATAATAACTGTATGAGCAACAATTAAATATATTCTAATGTTGCATATCAAAGCCCACAAATTTTCAGATTCCCTATCAGGCGATATTTTTTTTAAGGAAAAATGAAATTAATTTGCTACAAGTAACGTTTGAGCTGTAGCCGTTCAAATTTCAGGTCAAATATGATTTTACCAGGATGTTCTCTAAGTAAAAAAGAAATATGTTTATATATAAGCTTGTGCAGGATTCTGGAATCTGGTGCTATACCCTATATAAACCTGTTTACACATCTGTGGCAAATGAGAAGCACATTGTTTATCTCTTATGAATTTCCGATAAACGTTGCTTCTTTTACAAAGATAACTGGATTAATAAGAGGAAGTTGCATTGATGCTATTTTGCATATTGGTGTATTTGTGCCATCTATGAGAACAATCTATAAAGTGATGCAGCTTTTGATCTTTGTAATAAATGAGTTGGAAACCTTTGTCTTCCTTAGTGGTTATTTAGTGTTCTTGGAATAACAATTTACCTGAACCAAAACATTAAGCAACAAAAATTTGCCATGCAAAAGTAGGGAGAGAATGCTGGAATTGGTACATTTGGAAAGTCCTACCTCAGCTTCTCAGTGTGAATCAGACTCATAAGCAGGGCCTACCCATCTAAGTTGACCATAAAGGCTAGATGATATTGCAAAAGTTAGTCCTTTAAAGGACATCATAGTCCTCACAGTTTTTTGGCAACAGTATGGGAGTAGACAAGTATGCTTGTCTTGAGATACATGTTGATTACTTAAATACCTAGGTCAGCTTTTCTGAGCTAATTTGCTTCAGGGGAATTGGTAATAGGATCACCATAATTCATATAGCCGTGTTGCAAAAGTACAGGTTTCACAACAGTTTGCTTAGTGACTGACTTATGACCATTTTTATACTTACAACCATTGCAGCATCCCCACGGTCTCGTCATTTACATGCTTGACAACTGACTCACATTTCTGATGGTTGCCGTGTTCAGGGATTCCCTTTTGCAACCTTCTGACAAGCAAAGTCAATGGGGAACCCAGATTCACTTAACAGCCATGTTACTAATTTACAACTGAAGTGATTCATTTAACAAATGTGCAAGAAAAGTCGTAAAATGGGGCAAAACCCACATTTCTCATTTAACAACATAAATTTTGGGCTCGTAAGAAAAGGGAATTGTAGTCCAACATATCTGCTGGGTTCCAGGTTGTGGAAAGCAATTCTAGGTAATCTTTGTAGCTAGTCCAACTTTGTACTTATTCTTTTTAAAAATACAAATGGATTAACACTTGCATCCCTTTACATGAAAATAAAATTGTGAGAATAATGTATTAATGATAAATATTATGGGAATAAAGAAATTGTTGGAAATTTTGGATTGATGTGGGTATTTATTGTATTCAATGAGCTTTACCAAAAATTGGAAGTATTTCATCTATTGATAAACATATTCTGCTTGTTTCTAATTCAGCACTTTCTATATTTTTTTCAAAACGATATTCATTTATAATAATTCTATTATAAATAAAAAGAATAGAACCCAATACGAGCTACAAAAAATACAAACTGAAAAATATGAAAGAAAAAAAAGTGGGAAAAAAGAAAGAAGTAACTTCCCCCTTCATCATAGCAAGTAAGGACAATTTTAATAGCTTATCACTGCTCTAACATAATCTCTCTTCACCTCATAGCTCATCTATTGATTAAAAAAAACCAAATCCAACTTTTTTGTCAGTTGTTCTTTGTCATCAAAAGGCCAGTCAGAGTAACCAGATGTAAATATTTTACTCTTTTAACCTTTGTCAAATAAATCAGCCTCCCTGAGTTTTTAAAAATATCTTTTAACCCCTTCAAAAAGAGTCCCAGATTTAATTTTCTGTTCATCTGTTTCAAACCATTTTTTTCAGAACTTTAGCAGATTTATTTTGTAAGTCCAATTAGATCATTTTTATTTCTCACTTTTAATAAAGTCCTTCCAAACTTTAACAGAGCTCTTTTGTATATTAAAAAAAAATCTATATCAGTTTTCTGGTTCAATATTTGTACATCTATTTTTGTGAATAAATAATCCATCAGTTCCATTTGTTAGGCCCGTATCTTCTTCCATATCTTTCTCATTACTTGTTACATTTAAATCCTCCTTAAAAATAATTTCAAAATCATGGCTGAACTTGTAACTCAATCTTATCAAGAAATGTATCTGTTTTGCTAAAAAGCTTGGCAGACAGATCAAATTTGCATGATAGATTTTTGCTCCATAGTCTTAATCCGCTAGCTCCCTCTAGTGTTCAACCTTCAAGATTCCCTTATCATGAAAAAAACTCAAAACAATAGCCATTTTCCTCATTTGTAATTTTTTTTTTTTAATGAACTCAAAACTCTTTGTGGGCATTTAAAATTATAATTCCAGGACATTTTAACTTACTCTATTGTTAAACTTTATAAAATCCATATTCCCCGCATCCTTTTGCTGTTTAATACATAAAGTAATATTTTTCAAAAACTTTTAAAAATTGCATTTCAGTTCTTTTTCTAAGGAGAAGATGACTCTATTAATAAATACAGTATAACTCACTATCCTGAAGGATCATAATCATTTTAAGGCAACAGAAAAAAAAATCCAAAATGATTAAGTGAGGTGTGGTCGAGCCTATGATTCTTTAAAAAGCTGCATTAATGCTTATGAGCAAAGATCATTCCTTCATCAACTTCCAGCTACTTGACCCAGAGGCAAGCCATAAAATGATGATTCTTGTGATTTACTCAAGAGGAAGACTGTGCAGAGTCATGTAGGCTATCTTAAAGATAGCTCCTTAATTCAGAGAACATTTTGGCAGCCAGGATCCTACATCCCACACCGATTTCCACCGTAACACCTTTAGCTCACCATGGCTCTCAATCAAAAGCTGTATGTTTTCATTGCATCTAATGGATTAATGGGTTCATTGTGAAGCACATCCACTGTAGCAAATTTGGTTTCATCAATGCAGTGAGGAGCTGAACAAATTTTTTGCATATTTCTTTCCAGCATGACATGGAACTAAATTAAACATTGTGTTCCAAGTTCGTATCATGTGTTAGAGCTGTGCATGGTTTCCAATTCAGTTTGGAAGAGGTGCTTTGGAAAGTGCCAGAGCAGTTGCTTTTTAAAGCAACTGCTATAGGGAATAGCAATGGGCTAGAGCAGGGGTCCCCAACCCCTGGTCTGTGTACTGGTACTGGGCCGTGGCATGCCAGCAACCAGTCTGCACAAACAAGCAAAGCCCCATCCATGGGATGCAGGCAGTACACAAAACCACGCCCCCTCCGGTCCATGGAAAAACCTCTCTCCATGTAACTGGTCTCTGGTGCCCAAAAGGTTGGGGACCTTTGGGCTAAAGGAAGAGATTGCATAGGTTATATATTGCCAGCTTGGTGTTGTGGTTAAGGCACATTTGGAACAGGAGAGTTGTGAATTCTAACCTCTCCTTAGGCACAGAGGCAACTGAATGAATTGGGCCAATCATTCACTCTCAGCAAACCACTTTGAAAGTGTTTCCAAGGAAACTACAGGGAGTGGTGAGGGCAATTGCCAGAAATCAGCACTGATGTCAAGGGTGTGTGTGTGTGTGTGTGTGTGTGTGTGTAAAGTGAGTGGAGAACTGTAGATTTCTTGGCATTCCATCATAATGTGGAATCTCTCATGAAATAAGTCCAATAGTATTAGTTTGGGGGTAATCTTTCAGAAATCTAACTATAGAAATAGGCAAAGATTATCATGTAATCTATTTACTATGACATTGTTTTCCCATCCCTTACCCTGGTCATAATTGCAAAAACCCGATTGGAGTCATGCTAAAATAATCACAGTAGAAATCTGGTGGCCCAGCCTGATCCTAAAAAATATTATAGCTGAGACACTGGGAGATCTATCCAATATTTTCATCAGAGCAGGCAAGTCATCAGTGGCACCCAGATTCTGAAGAAGCTCTATCAAAGAATTTCATGCTTTACCTCCACTTAAAAATATAGCCACTACATATTTATGGTTACCATAAATCAGGGGTTCCCAACCAGGGGTGCGAGGTGATATTCCAGGGTTTTCAAAATTATAGTGTATATGCATAATTCGTTGCCATTATTTTGAACTTTTGTAAGGGGTGTGAGAATATATCAGAAGCCTTCTAGGGGTGCTGGATATAGAAAAGGTTGGGAACCACTGCCATAAATGAATAGCGGGAAATCAGATTTTTGCAGCCCAGACGTAGTTACCATTCTATTTAATAGTATGAGGAGTCCTTGCTGATCTCTGAGCTTGGTTGTTTGCTTGCAGATGTTTCATTACCCAAGTAGGAATCATCATAATGTTACCTAGTCTAGTAATGAAATGTCTACAAGCAAAAAAACAACAACAACAAGCTCAGAGAGCACTAAGGACTCCACATTGCAATCTTGATCTACGTATATGCTCTTCTATTGGAGGCTAGTATGATTAAGCACAAGAGTGATTCTTTTGTGGAAGAAGAATAAGTGAAAGAAACAATGATAGTATGGGCAAAGAACTTTGGATATTCTATAGATTTGGAAGACTGACAAAAACTTTGGGATAAAAACATTAAGCTTACAAAAGCAGTAGCATATAAAGAAAACATATATAAGATGTTCTATAGATGGCATATGACACCAGTTCGCTTAGCAAAAATGTTTAAAAATGTTTCGGATATTTGCTAGAAATGTAAACAACAGCCAGGCACTTATTACCATGGCCTATCGCTAAGAAATATTGGTCTAAGATTCATAGATGGTTGGAAAAGATGATGAAACTACAAATAGAATTTAAACCAGAATTGTTTTTGTTAGGAATATTAAGACCTAATTATGGCAAAGAGAATGACTACTTGATATTGCATGTTTTAACTGCTGCAAGGATAGTATTTGCCCAATTTTGGAAAAATGAGAATCTATCATCTGACCAGATTATTATTACCAAAATTTTAGAGTGTGCAGAAATGGATAGACTAACATTAGAAATGAAAGAAAAAGATGATTCAATTTATTTTAGAACCTGGGAAAAATTTTATCAATGGTTAGAGACACGTTAGAACTTGAAGGATTTAATATTTTAGAATAGATGACTGATTTTTAATCGAGTTCTAACTAACATTTTGATGATACGATTACTTTTCCTGATTTACTGATTTTCATTTGTTACTTTTGATTGTTAGGATTTATTTATTTTTTTGAGATTTTATTAGTAGTGTTTACTTAATAGATCAACGTATTTGTTTACTAATTGTTTTTAATATGTTACAGTTTAAGCTTTGTTAAAAATGGTTGAATATGATATTTACTCATTATTATGAACCGGACGGTTGCTTGTTTGTTGAAATATGGGATTGTACCTATCCTTATTTTTACCCTAATTCCTTATTTCCTTTCCCTCCCCCTTTCCTCTTACCCCTCCCTTTATCATACCTGTATTTTTCCTATTTTTCCTCACCTATATAAATTTAATTGTTTAAAAAAAAGAGTGATTCTTTTGCATTCTGATTTCACTGTCCAAAGAAAATCCACCCTCTTCCTTTCTTCCACCTTTCACAGGATTAGGTCTTCTTAGGAGAGTGAAGTCTATGCAGAGTATATCTAAGTATGATAAATTGAGCTTGGTTATTTGTGTCTTTTAAGTAAAAAAAAAAACCTATGGATTGATTTGTTTGATTATTAATTTGGGGTTCTTGAATTTTTGTTTTGTTTTGCTTTTTTGTCTATTCATGGTACTCTCAGAGGTCTTTTCCAAAGTTAAAAAAGATTGTATCCTGCTTGTTCAAAATCCATTTGTCACTTTTATATAGTGTCTAGGGAAATCTATTGCCTACATAGTTGCACATTCTGATCTTTTTGGGTATAAACAGATCCTGGCACCTGGGTAACTTTTCCAAGGACCTCATTGCTATTTTACAGAGTGCCAGTCTGTGGTGTGAATGGGGGCACAATGGCTCAGTGGTTAAAGATGCTGAGTTTGTCTGACAGCTCGGGTTCGAGACCCGAGTGCCGTGCAATGGGGTGAGCTCCCGCTACTTACCCCAACTCCCGCCCACCTAGCATTTTGAAAATATGTGAATGCAAGTAAATTAATAGGTACCACTTGGGTGGGAAGGTAACAGGTGTTCTGTGCCCCTCGGCGTATAGCCATGCTGGCCACATGACCAGAGAAGCCAAGAAACAGAGATAAACACTGCAACTAGAGTCAGACACAATTAGACAGGGAAACCTTTAAACCTACTCTGTGGTGTATTCCTTGACTGCTGTTCATTTACTGTTGTTAATTGATTGTAAAGGCAAAAGCTATGCACCACTTCAATATCCTTGCTGTCAGTTTTAAGGCTGGTTGC